AAAACCTCCTCCACCTTTTCCTACGGTTGCTTCCCCCACCTCATCTTTTGCATCTTCCAACCCCGTAACAACAAGATTGGCTTCCCTCAACACCTTGTCATGTCTCTCTTGTCTGGCTTGCACCTTTTCCACCTCCGCTCTCACCACACCGCTGTAGGAGGCAACTTTCACTTGTTCCCCCCGGACAACGTGCAACTCCTCATTGAACCGATTGCTTCTCCACCTCCATCAATTGCATCCGGGCTTTCAAACCCTCGTTTTCCTTCTTCAAAAGGCTTACTTCTGACTCTAACGTCTGCAAACGGTCCAACACCGCTGTCATCTCATCTTTCTTCGGCCCCATGCCTCTGACAGCACAACAAATGTCGATATGCAGCAGCAGCACTCAGATGGTCATTACTTTCTCAATTTCTGATGGATCGGGATGATTCTTTAACATGCGTGTTCGTCTTTGCAAGAGCTTTCCAGCCGTATCTCTAACTCAAAAAGTTATGGAGAATTGCTCCTCCTATCGCAGTTGCTGCACCTCAGACTGGTTGCTGTGCTGTCAAACTCGCGCCTCTGACGGCCCGAGTTTGAGTCCGAAAATCGGCTCACCTACGGGCCACAATCACTCAATTGCTGCGTGCCATGTACACAACGCTCATGCATGCCAAGAGCGATGAAACTTCTTCGCAGGGGCACGTCTCTGACGTCTCCGAGTCTGTCTCAGGTCACACACACAGTTGTTTGCTGGCGTCAAATTGAGGTGGTGATTAGTGCCCCAACAGAATATTCCTTTTCCAGTGACCCAGCCGCCTGCAGCTGGCCCTTCGCATGCAGCGGAAAAGATTCCATCCGAAGGAATGTGGGTTTAGCATATAATACCGCCCCCTTGCAGATTGCCAGATTGGGCGCTTTTTGCTGGGGCCAGGTACGGCCGCAAGCTGAGCCGCGAGGAGACACGAGGGCAGGTTGGCCAGGAGACCTGTGTTATCAATGCGCTAACTGAGAGAATGGGCATGTGCTTCGTCGGGAACATGGCGCTGCATTACTCTCGTCATGGGCTGTTCGTCCAATTTTATGATCTGCCAAGACCATCCCAATCAAGGCCGGGCCTGGCAATAGAATCCCCAAGAAACTCACGTACTGAGAAAGTTTCGAGGTTCTCTGGTTGCCCTGCGAATCCGTGCAGAAGCAGTGAACAGGTGGGGAAGCTGTGTGATTTGGTGGTGAGGAGTTGGTCCTCAATCAGGGCTTCACACAGTTGGGGGCCACTTCATCAAGTAAGGAAGGTGGGGCAAATGCTGTGTGCTCCCGGGGTGTATACGGTTTTCCTTCAGCTTCAACTGCAATGCTGATGTTGCCCCCTGCAGTATAGGACGGTTCCAAGCTGCTAAAGCGCGAATTGCAGAAAGCCACCTAGCAACTAAGTGTAATCTGGCTGCGCGAATACACACACTAAATGCTGCCAGTAAACCCATGGGAGCTAAGTGCAGCAGGTGTGCTGAGTGGTGCAAGCTCAATTGAGCTAGCTTTAACCTCGAAGAGGAGAACCATTCCAGACGTTTCACGCCTATATACTGGCTGCATGCTCGCGACTTTAGTCTTCTGGATGAAAAGGATGCGGAAAAATTGAAACAGTTCTGTGGTTAATTTCCTCAAGAAGTCTCAACAGTGTGACAGCATTGGGATGCTGCCTGATTGCCTTCGTATTTGATGCCCAAGAATGCTAACACGCAGGTGATGGTGTACTGCTTCTCAACAACAGCATTCTCTGAATTGCTAGAACTCTACTTCAGAGAGGCGTCAACCTTAGTCAAGCTCGAATCGCAGTGTTTCAACCAGTGAATCCCACAGGTGTCAAGATTCTGACACATGCAAGACGCCTGATCTCATCTCGCTGCCTGTCCCAATAGGACGCAAAACAGAGTGAAGTGATTCTTCGTGTACTTCTCTGATCTAGTGCCCCTTCTCTTTGTTTTCACTTCTCTGAATCATTCAGGCCTAGCTAGGCCCACATGAATCAGACTTCAACACCTCCTCTCTTCATCCCTCTCATGTCACTCCAGTTTACTCAAAACTTGACTCCCACCTGCAGCATGGCGGCATTGCCCGCGCTCTCTTCCTGCTGGCCTTCCTTTCTGCTGCCCCTTTTCCCTCGTTCATCACTTCAAGGCCCAGCTCATCTTCACTCTATTCAAACCTTCATCCGTCTCTTCGCCTCGCAGTATGGCGGCCCTCCGCGCGCTCCTCCTGCTGGCCTTCCTGGCTGCTGCTCAGTGCCAGACCAGCAGCAACCCCATCAACTCCACCAGTGGTGACCCCGTAACCCCCGCCCCTGGCCCCCTCAACAACGGCACTGCCGCTCCGCTTCCTGGACAGCCCGCTACTGCCGCCCCCACTGCTCCTGCAATGAACATCACGCTGTACCCCGCAAACACCAGCTTTTACACTGCAGGCGTGAGTGTCCCTGGGTCAAGAAAGGGGTACTTTTTTTGGGGGACAACTAATTGTATGAATTCCGGAATGATTTGAATTACCGTCTGGCAATGCCGCTCGCTTTTCTACAGTATGTAATCTTTTTACTCTGCAATCTCGGGCCTACTTTATATGCACAGCTTCCGCCGTCCTGCGATGTAAGCGAAGTGTTCGCTTGGTGTTCACGAGTCTTATCTTTCCATATAATCGGTTCGGGAGGGCAATCATCTTAGCTTCAAGACCTGCAAATCTATCCAACAATTGCCCTGGAAGTAGTGGTTTATAGCAAAGGAGGGGTGTGCATATCTGCTTTGCTCGCAATCTCAGGTGCATGCAACCTGTACGTGTGCGGTCTTGCCATTTGATCATGGACTGGCATCTTGACTTGTCAAGCAGAATGTGTCTTTTACAACGATAGATGACTTGAGAGTTGCACATTGCTTGAATTATCAGTTCAATGACTTTAGATCCGCATCCAATGTCTTGAAATGATATGCATCTGGAGTGCTGACTTGAGGGGACTTGGACACATTGTTAAGAAATCTCGAGATTAGCAAGGGTGTCACAACCAAAATCTGCTCTGATGAAGCGTTGGTAAAATCCGTCAAGTGTCAGGCATGCATGTGTCAAAGTAAGCTTGCTCATGTGATCAGCTTTGTCAGTTCTTGTCTTTTGCATGACCCTTTCTTTTAATCGTAAAGCTGATCACAAAGTTGCTCTTTTGCTTGCTGTACATTCTCAACTACCTTCGAGTTTCGTTGACCAGAAGCGCTTCTGTTCCCATTCGGCCTGGACCCTGAAATTATTAATCTCTTCGAATCCAGGTGCCACAGCAGAAGCTGTTCTCAACCCTGGGCCTCACCTCAGGTTCCCTGGATGTGCCCCTGACTGACCCGCGCTTCGCTCCCGGGAATGACACCAACGCTCCCGAGCAGATCCATCTCAACTACGGGTCCCCGACCAGTGTCGTGGTGTCTTGGGTGACTGGTAATTTTGCAGGCCCGCTTGTAATCATTGCAGTTCACAAGGTTGTGCATCAGGGCTTGGAAAATGGTGCGAATGCGGTGTCCCATCTTCCCCTCCAAGAACGCGACTTTCGCTTTCTGTATCAGTGTACTTACAGAGCACCTCTGAGTTGGTTGAGGATATACGAGGTTTCTTGGATGACGTTATAAGAGGTTTCTTATGTTGAAGGCACACCTTCTAGCCGAGAACATTGCATTCTCATGCAAGTCTGTGGAACCTCACGAGACTACACTGTCTGACCCACGAGCTGACGTCACAACGTTCACATCCCAGGTACTCCGGGCTACAACCAGTCTGCGTTGCCGGCCCCCAACACGGCCGTCCCCTCGACCGTCACCTACGGCACGTCTGCAACCAGCCTGACCCTCAACGCGCCGGGAACCACCACGTACTACAGCCAGATCTACACCGCACCCGGAGCGTTCAACTACACCTCGGCCGTGATCCACCACGTCAACATCACAGGTACGTCGTTGAGACGCGTTTTATAATGAAGCGTGTCGGGTGGAAGGATTGCGGATGGGTCGAACTTCCGCAATTGACCGTTTTCGCTTTTCTCTTGCCTGCAATGAAGTTGTCCCTTGCAATTGGGTTGTGCCGTTTGATTGCGAGATGGTGATACAGAGATTACTTTAGCTCTCTGGCGGCCAAGGACGACATATTCGAACAAACAACGCACTGTTTGACTTGTTTCATAGCATGTGAGCTTCCAGTGGTCCCTGTACCAGATTCCGCTGCTTCGCTTTCAGAGTTCCGAGTTTTGGTGCATCATGCAGACTTGTTTTGAGCGTAATTGAAATCTTTTCATCCTCGAATATTCTTGCCCCCGTTTGACACAAAAGACCTTCCTTTGCCACGAGACGTCCAGCGATTGCGAGCGTCTGATCCTGCGTTTCTCGTGCAGGCCTGACCCCCAACACGACCTACTTCTACCGCGTGCTGGGCAACACCAACGTCCCCAGCGCGCTCTTCAACTTCACCACCCTGCAGGCGGTCGGGTCCACCTTCTCGCCCTACCGCATCGGGTGAGCGCAGCCTTTCCGACTTACCGTTCACATGTGCTTCGAAAGTTGGGGACAGCGGAGCCGAGCACCTGTGTAGTGCCGTTATTGGAGTAATGAGGTGCAAACGGTGCGGTTGAGCCAGACCTCTCTAGTGTAGAGCGTCTTTCCAGTTTGGCATCTCGATTGAAGTTTCCGAGCAGTCTCGAATCACCTCACATTTCCGCTGTGACGAGATACGTTTTCCAACTTCTTCTTTGACCCGACAGCCAGTGCTTCTCGAGTGTTCCATCAACCGCATCCGGCTGCTTGTCAACTGCTTGAAACGAACCGCCCACCTGATTTCTCAAATCAGGATTCGACTGAAGAAAGCAAGCTAAAGAATGACGAAAGAAGGTCACGATACATACTCAACCGTACAAGTGTGAGTCTCACCGAACGCGAAGAACCTTGAAAGTCAGGGTGGTAATCCTGCACCGCTGCCTCTTGTTGCAGCCTGGTGGCCGATCTTGGCAGCACGTACAACAGCACGACGACGCTGGACCACCTGATCGGCAGCCAGCCCAACCTAGTTGTCTTCGTGGGCGACTTCATCTACGCCGACAACTTTTGCTCCAACGGCTCCCAGAACACCGCGCCCATCACCGGCTGCACCAACCAGACGTACCAGCCCAAGTGGGACGGACTCTTCCGCTGGTCGCAGGTTAGCCGGCCGAGTGCCCATGTTTATTTGCATACCCAATCGCGCGGGTTGGTAGCTTCTTGACGGCCTTTTAGGTAGCCTCTGATGTTGTAGCTTAGGGCAGCAGTCTAAATGTGAAAAGGGTTAGAGCGGCTTTGTTTTGCGGTTCCCGGACCGGCTCGTTGCCTAGATATCTGGCCGGCTCCATTGCCCAAAAACAGCTACCCCTTACTTTGTTGAGGAGCTTTGAGGAGCAGTCGTCGGCTCCAAGACGGTGGATGACTGTTTCTTTCCAATGGAATATATGACTGGTTGAACTAGAATGGAGCAGCTATTCCGTCAAACCAGCGACTGACGAAGCATTGAGTTATTTCGTCAAACCCCGTTCCTGATACTTCCGATATGACCGATCAGCTTCGCCAATCGACTAAGAGGTTACCCTAAGAAGTTTCATTTATCTTTATGTCACCACCTGTGGCCCCCACGAGCCGTTCCGCTTCCGCGGTTACCATCCTGTTCCCGACATTGTGACATTGGCTGTTCTTTCGTCTTGCAGCCTCTGTTCAGCCACGTGCCGTTCCTGGGTGTGATCGGCAACCACGAGATCGAGTCCCAGAAGCCGCCCAACGCGACCGACTTCCTGCTCTTCCAAAGCTATCTCGCCCGGACACGCTTCCCCACCACCACCTCCGGCACCCAGGTAGGGACCAAAAAGTTTTCTTCCCCCTGGACGCGGATTCGCGATGGATTCGGTCAGTGACAGCTCGTTCAAACGGTAATGTGCCTTAGTGCTCTGCCTTCAAATGTGAAGGTCCCGTCCAGCTTTTTCCCTTTGCTTGCGTGTTCTCGCGGTCTCGTGCCAGCGGTAAGAGGAGTAGGAGTTCCTGTTTCTCGAGCCCAAACTCCGATTGAAAAGAGAGAAGCTACTAGAGGCGTGCAATCTTATGCGCAGTGGTGTTTTGAAAGTAGTTCCGGACCCATTTCCCTTTGAGATGCTCTCAAATCAGGGCAGTCGGGTTTTGCTGCTTTGTCAAACTTGCTGATCGATTTAGCCAAAGCGATTGATTGGTTGCTCAAGAAACTCTGCGCTACAAGTTTGTCAAAGGTATTGTTTTTGCATTTGACTTGCTGACCTTCCCTCCTCGTCCATCCGCCATCGATCCTTTTCGTCGAAAGAAAGCCGAAGTCTTGAGCACTTGAAATAGATAAGCAAGTACTAAACGGTGAAATACTACGGCCTGATCTGACGGTTGGGCTCCTTTCCGTCGTTCCTCCAGCTGTACTACAGCACGGACGCGCCGGGCGCGCACCTGATCTTCCTGAACCCGTACACGGACTACAACACCACCAGCGCGCAGATGGCGTGGCTCATGAACGACCTCAACACCTTCAACCGCACCAAGTGAGCTTTACGTCAAAAAGTTCCGCGATTGTCGGACCACACGCGCTTTTTGTCAATGGTTGCAGAGTCAACTTGCTCAAGATCAAGGGACCCCGCTCTGGTGGATCTAGTTCCTTTAGGATTGCCGAGATGCTGACGAACGAGATTACAAAGTCAGCTTGCGGCTTCTCCTGGACGATTTGTTGCTGGCCGGGGGCCCGTTGTTAAAGCTGCTATCAATGAGGACCACGGTAGGATGGTTACATGTCGCGCCTCTCGCATATCATAGTATCAGGCAATAGTGTATGTTCCTCACAAGGTGCACGGAACGTCCCTCAATTTCTTCAGGGCTTTACTTCTTCTGTCTACTCGGTTTGCTACTCAGAAAATCAGCTACGATGAGTCGGCGCGCAATGCCAAACTTCAACCAGAAGTCCGTTCAAAAGCTAAGGGCCTCACTGCTCTTGATTGTCATTTCCCTGCAGGACGCCGTGGCTGATTGCCTTCTTCCACCCGCCCACCTACAACACGTACGTCAGCCACTTCAAGGAGGTCGAGTGCTTCCGCCTCGCGGTGGAGCCCACTCTGTACGCGTATGGCGTGGACCTCGTCTACCACGGCCACGTGCACGCCTACGAGGTGCGCGCCAAAGGCCGTCTTAGTTCGTTCATTTTCTCCCTATTTCTACATACGAAGCGACATTGCGTTGGTCGATTGATCAAACTTTTATATACGAAGCGACGTTGCCTTGGTCGATTCAATTTCTCCCTGATTCTCACAAACGAAGCGACGTTGCGTTGGTTGCGACTTGAGTGAACCGCGTGCCCAAGTCTTTAATATGCAGACTTCGACAAGTCCCGCAGGTTGACGCGCATTTTTGAATGTTGCTGGACTTGCCTTTGCATCGCTCCTGCAGCTTTTTTGCAGTCCTGGTCATTCCCTCAGAACTCTACAGCGCATTATCTGGGGTATTTAAGCGGACAGGAGGCACGTGGTGCTGCAGGACCCTGTTTCTACGCTGAGTGTCATGCGCGTGCCTGAGGACTGAAAAGCTTCATTCTGAATGTAACTTTCTGATTCTCGTCCCGTCCTCTCCCTCCGCAGCGCACGAACCGCGTGTACAACTACACAGTGAACGCGTGCGCCCCCGCTTACACCACCATCGGCGATGGAGGCAACATCGAACAGGTCGCCGCCAACTTCACCGACCCGCCGTGTAAGTCAAGACCCTCCCGAAGCAAACTCGTTCCTTACTTTCTTCGCTTGGTGTGACGCACGGCGTACCGCAACGAGGCTGTGAGTTCTGCTTCCGTTCCTAATTTGTAAGCTGCACTGGCGTATCTATCTGGATAGTTCGACTTTTCGCCAGCAGGGCCACGATTTGCTGTGCGCGACCCTTGGTCGGCAGTCGTGTGAGTTGAACAGCTTCGCAAGCTGCAAACTGTTTTCGGCTCTGGTTCGCGCGGCTGAAGCTGATATTATGCAAAAATCCGCGAAGGCTCCCCGCGCCGAAGGTTCCGAAATATTATGTACGTGGAATCTGAAAACATCGGAGTGGACTGTGCTAACCCGGGAACCTGTTGTTGCTGCTGCAGCCCAATGCCCGTTGAACACCGGCGCTTTGGTGCGTTCTGGTTTCATTGGCAACTGCATGACCTACCAGGCAACAGACAATGGCAGCTACTGCCCGCTTTCTCAGGTGAACGACCACCCCGTCACATTTCTCTCGTTACGGACAATAGTCTACACGGAGCAGCGGTATCCTTTGTCGAATCCAAGTGTCGAGTTGGCGAGTTTGCGGCATGGCGATTGGCACTTTTTTGCATTTCGCTAAGCCGTTGTAGAAGCAAACATACATGGTAACACGGAAGGAGCAAGTAACCTGCCTTCGCACCTTGTTCAAACTTTGAATCTGGTTTTCACAAAAGCGCAAATTGCGGCTCCGTTGTCCTTGCTGTCTCTACGACCCATCCTGCCATTAGAATGGAAACGAGAATTTTCATAAATTTTCAACCACGGACTCACATATATTTGCCTATTCATTACCTGAAATGTCAATCTTGATCGCAGTAGTTTATGTCCTAGACCGCGCTTCAGAATCGTATGAAACCAACCAGCCCGCATGCAGTTGTCCTACGCACCCGTCTGCTTTCTTCTCTTACGCCACTCAACCGATGCAAACAACTTTCCCATGATGTTGATCTAATCTTCTTGTCATTTTCACTCGTTGTGCAGCCGTCGTGGTCTGCGTACCGCGAGCCCAGCTTCGGCCACGGCACGCTCGACATCATCAACGCCACCACCGCCGTCTGGAACTGGCACAGGAATCAGGTGCGGCCCGCAGCATCTCGGAAACGTCCGACTGTTTGTTCGTTTGGATACCGAGCAGGCCCTCGTCGAGCAGAATTGGTATGGTGCTTGTTTTGGCTGAATGGTACTTCGTTGGAACTCTGGCTATAGAAACTTCTGTCGCGCTGACGCTCTAACAAGCAAGCCGTGGGCCGTTTTCTTTGCGGGAGAGAGTTGATTGGCAAAGCTGTACCCTCGCTGAATAAAGTTTCATACCTGTGCCTACACCAATGAGCATACGTGGAAGTGCACGGTGTTCCTTCTTGTTGTTGGCTTCGAACTGGCCTTCGTTGAGTGTCAAGGCATCAGTTTAGTAACGACTGGGTGGTTGTGTGCAGGACGGTATTGCCGTTGCTGCTGACACGGTGACTTACACCCGGCCTGTCGGAACTCAGTGCTCCAATCACCTTCAGTATGTCAACGGAACGGAGAGTGCCGGAAAGTCGATTGTCTCCTCGCGCAAGCTGCTTTGGGCAAAAGCTGAAGCAAGCATCAAAAAATGCTTCGGCGTCGCTTAGATGAAAATGCATGCATTTGGTGTAATGCTCTGGAACTTAAAACCACTTCGGCATCAAATGCCGGAGGAAAGTTTTGTCCAATCATTATTATTGTCAGGCAGTTGAATTCGGTAAGCTCAGTGCCTTTGCACTGTTTGGCAAGCCCCGGCCCCAGGATAGAGCTCAGGCACTCTAGTATGTATGTATTCACTATCGCGCTTATTCGTTTTTCATTGATTATTCGTAATTCCAGAAGTTCCTCTTCCTCTTTGAATCCACTAGCTGCTCATGCGTTGGAATTCTCGTCGTGTATGGATTGTAGTTATCAACCAGAATTGAGCTAGGGAGTGGAATTTGACATGATTGGCTATTTCGAAATGAAGTCATTTGCATGCACAGTTCTAACTGGACAGCCGAAGGGTTATTGCATAACGGATTGAACAGTGCATAATCGATCAAACACGAATCTACTTTCCGATTCTTTTAACTATCAAATTACTATTGAATACTTTAATCCGTATGTCATGTGAGCTTAGCGCTTGGAGAGGTTGTTTGATCAACACGCAAAGCTAGGAGTCACACGAATGTTTTAGGGTCATGCAACTCAGGCCGAAAGTTTCAATTTGAAGCGTGGCTGAATTGAACAAATGATCAAATAAGGATATGATGCGTCAATAGAGTGATTCAAGGAGCCTTGGTCGCTTCGATCGGGTACGTTCAAGAGTAGTGGTTGTCAAACAGTACGGTAGTGCGGGTTCAACGTCACCCGGTTGCATCATGGGGGTCGCATTATGCCATGTACCGGTCGTACGTTTGATCCGACGAATTATTATGGTAATGTTAATTGAATATTACACAAATTTGATGCAATCGAGATCATGATAAAAAGATCGAGACAGTCATAGATGATGCATGCCATGATCGATCGTTCAATCAATTCAAATACATGCGCTTCGATCGAATGATCATGTGTGGCACATACACTAAAAGCTCGGCAAGTTTAGCTACCTTTTGACCGTCAGCCTGTTGACTGCAAGTGAGTCCATTGACCCTCGGACTAGGCTAAGTGAGCTTGCTAAATGTTGGAACGTACATGTAATTAGATTGGCATGCACCTCATTGGCATCATTTGCATGCCAGTGAATTTGCTAGCTAGCTTTTACTCCAAAACCCTAAAATCCTAAAAAGTGGTCTGATCAATAATATACGTAAATCATATTGTATGAATGATTTGAGGACTCGGAACCATGGTTGCGCAATATTACATACCTACACGCACTATTGCACTCTGTATCTGGACAATGATACATAGTCGGCGCTACGTACAATATATCACCGCACAATTGCCGTAGTCAGAAACGCCACAAGACACAAGACAGTAAGGCGCATATTTTGGGGAAGTTTCTGGGGATTCTCGAGATCGTGGCGGATCTGGATCGTCCATCGGATTCTGGGGAACTTTCAAAAAAATGCGTCTTACTGTCTTACTGTCTTAACTGACATATTCAGTAGAACGGTGCTTGGCTCCTCGTCGGCCCTTATGGTTTGCTCGTCGGGACCTACTTTGCCATGATGCCTTATTTGATGAATTCATGTTCACGTTTGAACGGCCTGTTCGACGAGATGGCTGCAGGCTGCGTTGATTAGGGCCAAGAATCTATGATGCTTCCCTACTAGGAAAGAGCGATGAATTGTATACATCCACGTTTCCAACACACAAAAATCCGATCTACGTGCTGGAGAAAGTAGTGACATGAGCGGCATGCAGAGTGCCTGGCATAGCGCCCAGATGTGACATGCGTCATGCTCCAAGCACGGATGACCAAAGACGCGATATTCTCGAGAGATGAAATGACTGCAAACATGATAGACGTTACCCTTTGAGCAGAAATGATGGCAAACGTGATGGCAAACATGACATTCGTCTGTTTATGATCATACATGGCTGCAAACGTCATTATGGAGAAGACATCCAGCGAAACTGACTACAAAACTGGCCGCAAAAAACCCTAAAACCCTAGAGCATCCATCGACTCTACCCGAACCACATGTCTGAGCGTGTATCCAACCAGTGCAGCAAGACTGGCAACAAAAAAACTTCAAACAACACAGCTTATGGCAAACATTGTTGGTATGTTTGCTTTTATTTGAGGGCAACGCCTGAATGTAACATGTCTCTTGTTATTGCACTTGCACATGACATGTAGCATACATATGTGAAAAAGGGCACAGATGGAATTCTTTTGCGGCTACAGGTTTCACCTCTCTTCTACCGTAGCTCTTAAACCCTAATCACCAAGATGGGAATCTACCGCCTTCACCTAAAGGTACGGACGCCCGGGAATTCTACTACGGTGTATATGCCTTTGAGGACATTTGAAGTCACCATTCAGCCCATCCAAGGTACCCAAGAAACGCCAGCAGAAGTAGGATGCGATACATGTTTGCTTCTAGAAGGAAGAGTGCTGGAGCGTTTGATGCGGATGTCGGAGGAGGGGCAGAAAAACTTGTTGAAGGTGCCCTACTGAAGCTGGTTGGACTTGGAGGGGTTGTGGCCGATTTACTAGGCGGGGGTGCATTAGCACAAGCGAAGGAGGCTTTAACTGCGCTCTGACAGCTGGTCGTACAATCGAAAACGTTTCCATATGCACTGCTTTTTTGGCAGTCAGTGAGACACTGGTATAGTGCATTTGTACAGGCCTGGTAATTGTTGAGTTCCTGTTCCGTGGAACTTGCAGACCTGACCACAGAGGCCCATGCCAGAAGCATTCCTAATGAGATAAGGAGCCGGCGCTTACCGATCCACCGACGACAGACTGCCATTTCAACGGTTGTCGAGTTTGAATGGTTGTCTGACCTTCCTGTTGGGACAACTGAAGCAAGCAGCTGCCTGATGCAGAGAACAATTGCGCACAAGCTTAGGAAACTAATCGTTCTGGAATATTCAAGAGCCTTCCGTATTCGCTCTCTTTCTCTCTTGAGCTCTTCAACAAATCTCAAAAACGGTACCTCGCGGTACTCCGATAACCGCGAGGTACCGGTACTGTGAATGCTAGCCTTGAGCAGATGTTGACACACGTACTTTGTGCAGCATTTGCTCCGATAACTCGTCTTCATTGGCGAAATCATGTGGGGCCGGGCAGGCCTCCTACTTCTCTCTCTCAGCTCCGATGGAGTCGAGGGGTTTGCCGCATACGGCGATCTGTGTCAAAAGCGGGCAGCCGTCCGATGAGGGGTTCGCCGTCTTTCGCCGCATCCAGCAGCATATGACGTTAGCAACAGCTCATCAAATTGATATTCACGAGATTGTCACATCAAGAGCGGTAAAGGTAATTTTTATAAGACTGAAAAGAGTGTGCGCCGATAACTTATCCGTATGATCAAATCAGTAACCCGAAAAGACGGGGTTCGGTATATTGTTATTTTCTGTTTTGCCAAGCTTTGACACTGCAGCTTTTATTGTTGTTGTATGAGCAGTGGTCAGGGTGCCCGCATTAGCAATGTTACCTCGGGAATTTTTTCGTATGGAGGGGTCTGGCAGTCCGGCGAGAAACTCTGATGAGCATTGTGAAGCATCATGGGAGTGCTAGACAGCTCTTCGTTTGTTCGTATTGGAGAAAATCTGCAGCAGACAGGAAGCGGAGCTTGAGGGGAGCTAGGGGTTGTCAACTTGAGTGCGCAGAGGTTCCATACCTCCAGGTATGGCTATCTTGTCAAGAGAACGGTTCTGCTTTGCTTGATTATTCGGTGACTGGGGTTCCTGGGGAACCAAGCAATTCTCCATCCTACCTGCTTTGCCCGCGGCACTACACGTTTCCTGCCCTGAAAGCTTTGGTTGATTCCCAACATTGCTCTGGTAGCCCGGTAAGGGCCACTCGCTGTTGTCGGGCACTTTCTTCATTCAAACGGAGGGCACCCGTGCGATCAAGGCGCTCGCTTGCGTTTCATCAGCTGGTTCAAGCAATGGCGCGCCTGCACTCAACGGGCTCGCGCGTGTTCTCACAATTCCTGCGGACGCGCCACCTGCGGCGCGCGTCTATAAGGCGGCCTCAGTTGATCCACGTGACCAATCAGTGTTGTCGATTTAAGTCTTTACCCGCAGCGCGCGCGCGTCTACGGTATAGCCAGCGGGCGACGCTGGCGGCGTCCGCGGCGCCCTTGCAGCGCGCGCGCATAAGCTCCGAGCGCTCACCTGGACATGTAGAAGGACGGCGCCAAGCCGCTCGTGTTTCCTACAGAGAATCGTTGAGAGGTTTATGAGTGCGACTTGATTGTGCGGCAGGCCGGCGGGGATGATTTCTGATGTGAACCGTAACAGCTCTCTTCTCAACTTAAGGGTTTTGTTCAGAAGAGAAGGGTCTTCCAGGAGATGGTTAGTCGCTCAGTAAGGCAAATACGGCTTGAACCCGCACAGAAGCGTTATCTATCAGATGGACTTTGGAACATCCTTGAATCGACAGCTTCTCTAAAACGATGGCCAAGCTTAGGTACTCATATATAAGTGTTGGAGAACGCTGGTCCGGCGACTATTGGGCAGGGACGCCAGCCAAAACTGCGCAAGACTCGCCTTTCTCGCCCAAACAAAAGAAAAGCGCAACGCGTGATCGACAGGGCAGATCCAGCAAGCCAGGCCTGAGCTTGGGGGCATTGCATGTCGGCTGAAAAAGCGCCGTACCCGTAAGAACGAGCGCTTTGTATCAGCGCGCCGCCGTACTCATTCTCTTCTAGGGTCACCCTGTTTCCGTGGATGCTTGCCTGGCCACCGCCTGTGGAACTCGATTGGCCAGCATGGAAAATTTTGTTGCTTCACTGAGAGCTAGGCTAAAATTCAACCCAAAGGTACAAAAATAAATCAGCAATCGAGGAAATTGTGGAACGGCTCCATGGCACACACTTCAAGACGCAGTGTTTCGAAAGACTCCAGACAAAGATCTCTAAATCAGAGGCTGGCTTAAGATGGTTTTGGGACAAGACGGGTACACACGTTGGATGCTTATACAGATTGAGCGTCGAACTAAGGAGGAGACGGGAATGATTCACGGCATGACCGCGGCCAAATAAATGACAGAGAATCTCCGTTAACCACCTGCTGTCACAAGAGAATACTCGAAATGAGACTTCAGCAGAATGCATTGAGGTATGGGCAGAATTGGACTGAAGTCAACTTCAAAGGGACACTCCTTGAAACCGTTCGAAAAAAAATGGAGTTGAACGGGCAGCGTACTTCCACACAGCAGCGAGCCATGCAGTTTGCCTTCAAGCTCTTTCTCACGTCAGGACAGCCGGTTCGTCTGAGCATCATTTTGGAAGGACGAAGCTTCTTGTTATCGACGTATATGATAGTCCCACTCCATTCATCCATCACACGAGCAGCAAGAAGCCATCAATGCACATGAAGTGCAGCCAGGCCATCGTTTACGATGCCTCACCATATTCCGCCGTCCAAGAGATTGGCTCGCTTTGTACTCCGGTACGGTAACCAGAAGGGCACTTAACAGACGTCATGCGCGCGCACGGCCGCTCAACCAGCTGCAGTGCACCCTGGATATGTCCATTTTGGAAGAATTGAGAACGAAAAAGAAACGCAGAAACGCAGTCATACAGAGGCTTGAATCCGGAACCAAGTACCCGCATATAAAGGAAAAGCGCTTGACTAGCAGCCACTAGCAGTCATGCAGGATGCATGCAAAGGGATGGTACCTTTGCAGAGTGGGCATGAAGTGCCTCCTACTAAATTAGTCTGATGCTGCGGTCCATTTTGTCCAACCTGTGCTTGCAAGAGTCATATTTCCTCTGTTTCCAAGCACTGAAACCGCACGGCGCCACTCGAGATCAAACCGTATAATGTTGCAATCTGAGAGCACTCGCCAAAGTAGCAAGCTCCGTTAAATCCGAGGCCTAGTGAGCGAAATCTGATGAAATTTTCAGAAAAGCTGCCTTGCATGGAGTCTGCCAGTGCTGATAGAGTAGCATCAACCTGCCACAAGCGTCCGAAATTGAAAAGGTCTCTGAGAAGCGGTGGCAGGGGCATTGTGAGCCAGTTTGCAACACTCTTGGACCGTCGTACTAGGAAATCCATGGCATTAGCAGCTTGATTTCAAATCGAGGCTATGCAATGGTCTGGCGCCAGCAGATCTCACAGATTATTCATCGATCAATAGAGCCGCCACACCCAATGGGCGGTCAGCTCAGCTGCAGGCCACGTTAATTAACTACACAATTCATGACCAACATGCCAAGCCTGCGCATGAGGAGGCTAGCTGATGAGATGTACACAGGTCGCCGAGCCGCGAGTCTTGAGTCGGGCGGTCGGCCATACCTGTATTAATTAAAAGAGGAAGACAGGTAGGCTCGCGCAAGCTGATCGCAATCATTCGCGAAGAGACGACTGACGGGCTTGTTCTACAAAGTGCATTCCTGAATCTCAGTCGGCCAAGGGTCGAATACAAAAGAAGAGTAAAAGTATAAGTCAAGCAGTGTAAACAGAGGTGGAGGGATGCGAGTGTGGAAAGCTACAGAATTAGGCGCATTGCGGCCCCCGCTCCAACTAGTTTGAAAATAATTGATTGCAGACACTGCTTGTTGGAAGTTCGTTGAACTAGGAGGTGGCTTGGGAGCAAAGAGAACACATCTTATGTTCAGCTGCATATGCATACTGGCACCTTCTTTCAGGTGACTCCAACCTGCTGGCTAAGCCTGGTTCAGGGCTTAAGACAAGCATACCGCAAAATGTCATGCCAATCACTGAAGCAATAGACGCCTTGCCCAGAGAGTCAGAGACAGGATTGCAAGGTGGAGCGAAGGTTTCGAAAAGACCAGCGTGGGCATGAACATTCAAACAATCAATGATTTAAACAAATAAATAAACTGGCCATTCAAAAAGCTCATCAGGACCGTGAGAATCAGGTGTGAACAACACGCCACCAAGTAGAGTCTGCTTTTTGGATATTAAGGGAGCTGCAGGGCTTGGCATCTTATTCGGCACAAGTCATCCCAACCAATGTATCAATCTAAGAAAACGAATAAGGTTATATAGCCCTCCTTTGCGGCATTACACCTCATTCCTTGTGGTCGCATTTGAACTTGGTTTTCTCAAATAGTGGGAATCGAAGGCTTCTTCGGCTCTGATTGTCCTGGTTTGTTAATAGTGAAAGCCCACAGTTCAGTATTGCTGGGTGATAATGTAAAGATTTGGCAACAAACGCAGCTTGCACACGGTGACTAGCTGATTAACAGACTGACAGACAATCCTGCGTATAGCATCTCAAGTGCTCCTGACGCTCCCAAAGGTCCCACCTTTTCTTGATCCCCACAGTTGGAAATAAAAGTGGGAGAAATTGCGACTAAGCTGAGCACACAATAAGCTGACTCCCACCCTTGACTTCGATCTGGCCAGAAACCAAACGCAACGTCGCTGACTCTAGTGTACAAGGCTCAATGAGACAGTCAAGCTCAGGCTGACTAATCTCCAATAGACGCAGAATTTAGTTTTGTTGGCCAGATTGTCCTCACTCTGAGGGGTTTGGTTGTCACCGGAGAGACAAGCAAGTGCGGCATTACCACCTGGCGGCCCCCAACTTGCCGCGCTGCGCGTCAAAGCTGGTTGGGCTAGCTTGCCCTAAATTGCAGTGGCCGCGATCCTCCTCACTGCTCCCGCCGGGGGTACACCTGCTGACGTCATGATCAGTCTCCTGGAAGAGTTGGAAGCCGTGTCCATCATTGCCAGCTGCCCACAGAGGCCGCGGGCGCAACTTGCAGATGCCGCCATTGTCACTGCAGAGGAATGGAGCGAGGGTGACACAAGCAGCTAGCGGTGCGACGCAGCGCCGCAAGAAGAAGGACTGGAGCTTGGACGCCTTACAATGCCCAGCTGCTCAGCTGCCAGCTGCAGTTCAATTGTCTTTGAAGGTTAGAAGGTGGTACTCTAATAGTATTAGTAATGATGATAGTATTAGTCGTAGTGGTACAGTACTCTTAGCCTTTAGGTATACCGGGTAGTACCTAGAGGCTAGATGGGTCTTGCATGAAGTGAGCAAGGACGAATACACAGTGCACACTGAAGCGGGCCGGGTGGGACTTGGGTGGCAAATATACCGGTAGTAATCAACAATCACGACGGCTAGAATTAATTTCTCAGTAATAGAGGTATTCGTGACGACACGGTATTATGTACCGGCAGGAGGAGCCAATCAAAGTCAGGAGTCAGGACGCTCAGCCAATCAAGAGCCAATCACAATGGCACAATCGGCCGGCCGTTGCGGCAGACTACCGCTAGCCGCCGGGAGCTGCCGGTAGCTGAGCGCTAGCCAGCTGTTAAAGTAGTTTGCCACGCGCCATGCCGTCAGTGCCGGCATGACACCGTTTTAAAACCGGTATTTGATACGGGAATGTGCGCTGTGTTTGCGATGTTTGCGGTGTTGCACGATACTGGCAACCGCCTAGTGTCTCCTGTTTATAGCCTGGGCTTGTGACTTGACTCCTAGGATTCAGAAGCCCCGGGCAACACAACTAAAAACCCTAATACCTTTGATACGCGCTCCGCACGCTACCCGCTCTTAGTAACCACCAGACTAACCCTACCCATTCGATCTTCTGATTCTTACCTGGCATCCCCTGAGGCCTTTGTGTGCTTTTGAAGACAAGCCTCTTGCGAGACAACTTGCAGTTGCCACATATGCGCCATGCGATGTCACTGTGTTCGCTGTTTATCCTGGCAGGCTCAGCCAATCACACTGAGACCGGTCCGGATTCGAGGCTTCAGGTTTTTGAATCCGAAGTGATTCAATCGCACTCAGTCCGAAATATGTTCCAATTCACCGTCATTTACCCCGTGGGTGCTGAAGCCGGAAGTCATCGAGGATGAGAGGATCCCGCAATGGGGACCCAATGGGAATGAGGACCTGCAGAACGATGGATGCAAGTTGCAGAAGTTGATGATGAGATGATTCAACTTGCATGATTCAACGGTCAGTTTCAACACCAGAATTATATTGTATCTCATTTGCGGACGATTTGGATCGGATTCTGGATTCGTAGTACTCTGCTGCATGCCGGGCAGACGGTGTATATATGTGACACCGTGATCGCGAGTTGTTCTGATCTCGTTCTGCAATCCGCTCAGTTAGCTTCTTGTATCTGTAGTACACCTGTCTGAGTACTATCGACAGGGACTCTAACAAAACGGAACGGAATACTCATGTCATATACAAGAGCGAGGGAATGTCATCGATTGGCATATGTGAATATGTTGAATACCCGTTGAATATGTATTGCTCATAATTTGCTCTCAATCAGAGTCTCTTAAAGGGGACCACAATTCCGGCCCGGGATAGGGCACCTTCTCCCTAGTTTCCTCTCGACGTTGCAGTGTTGCAGCCTCAGCAATCTGCATACAGGCTCCGGAGAGTCCGATCTTACCAAGGTCTCAATTACTTAAGCCTAGGGAGTCGAAGTTAAAGAGCAGGCTAGTGACCATCAGTGACCACGTAAAGGAATACGCTGAGTCGGCCCCAATGAAGCCTGCTGCCCGATACTGCCAATATAGTCGCCGCCGCGCCGCTGGCCCACACGCGGGCCCGCTAACTAGTATCTGTGACTTCGAGGTATTCATGCAGCCCGCGGCCACCCTCCGGCTCATGCCCTGCCTCATGCCACCCATCCATGCACCCAGCTGTATCTGACAGAAATGATTAGTAATTAGGGCCGAAACAGGCCCCGGCTGCAGCCGACACCACTGGGGGAGTACGTACTACAATTGTACTAACAAGTGCGACAGGCGGCCGTGACCTTCAACAATATATTCAACTGACATGCAACATATGGTGCCGGCCAGTACGTGTGGCACGCGGCGCCGGAATGCCACAAGACCTGGCATGCATAATTTAACGTCTACCGCATGCCAGGACTCTACCTAAGCTAGCACGCACGGCAAGACGTACCAGTTCAAATACTATTGACGTACCAGTTCAACTATTCGATGGCAACCGGACCGCGGCCGCAGTCACGTTCCCCGCGGCGCAAATGACCCGCGGCGCCATCATTTGCACGTCTACTAAGCTCCCACGTCGTTACGACGACCGCCAGGCTACGTGGTACGTCAATGTAAGTCGAGCTGCAATCAGCTAGTGGCAGGAGCGGCCGGCTTTACTTAGGCGCCATGCAAGATTGAACATGATGTTTGTGATCGAACTCAACGGCTGCGAACACGCACCGAGACTCCCGACCAGCTAGAGACTTTCAGTCTACAGTGGCTGCTGCGCCATATTCACAAGATCGGCCGTTTAATTCCTTCCACAAAAACCCACAACGCGTTTTCGCCCGTTGCGCCTTAGTCCCACTAGTTTCTTCCCATCAAGTTCTTCTTTAGACACCGCCGATTCTATATCTACGGTGGGCACTCAATTGTCTCGACGGAATGTCGCTGAAGCTGTCTCCGGCACCGTCCGACACTGCGCAACGAGAGCATCATGCAAGCTCCCTATTCGAGATGACTACCTTGTTTCATCTTGCAAGGCTCTTGCGGCTTGCTGGATCCGTGCGCGCTCCTCAGCGACGAGCCTAGCCGCCTCGCCGGACCCACTCCCTAACTCAAGCTTCCGCTTCACGACATCCCGGTATCCTGACACCGTATCACTCCTCGTCAAGCCCCGGGCAGTTCTTCCGAGCGGGCTCTCACCCTCACTATACTCGACCAAGGGCGACTTGGAGAGTCGCCGGTAACCATCCTCCGAGTCGGACGTCGCGGTTCCCCGCGGCACCCAGTCAGGGGACAGCATCGACTGGGAGTGATTAACTGTCCCCGGAAGAACGACACCAGGCCGGTTGCCAGTCTCCCTCCGTTCCAACACCGCGGCCGCAGCCGCTAACCGCCCCGGCGTCGAACCCTCAGCTCCTAGTGGGGGCCGTTTCGGTGTGCTCTGCTGACTCGCCGCCCGAGAGGCAGCTTGCAGACCTTTTATCGCCTCTAGTTGCTGTTGTAGCCGCTCTTCCCATTGAGCCCTCGCCTTCTGCTGTTGCTCCAACCGAGGAATCAAGGCCTCTCCCCCGGGGGCGTTCGCGAGCTCCGCCAACTCCCGGTCCTCTTCCGCCATCCGCTCGAGGTCGTTCCGGAGCTCCGCCAGAGCGGAACGGACTTCCTCTGCGTCCGCCATACTCTTGACCACCGTTTCCACACGTGCTAACCGCCCCTCGCTAGCGGCGGCCGCGCTTGCTAACGCCCGGAGCAGGCTCTCCACACCGGATTTGCCGCTCCGCTTGAACGACCGAGAAGCGGAAAGCGAGGATGACGACAGATTGTGACGCAAAGTGCTCTCCCAAGGGTCCGATGCCGCCTTGGGTCGTGCCCCGCCTTCGGCCGCGCTTCGGTCTCTCGGGGGGGGCAGATCACGGGTGTTTAAAAGGGGGGACTCAGGGACCGGAGCAGGGGGGGGACGGCTAGCGGAATCGAGGGAGGAGTTGGGAGTGCGACGGCGGGTAGGGCTGGTGACGGACCGGAGGCGTTGCACGACCTGTAAGAAAAGGGCGCGAAATGCTCAAAAGATGCGTTGGACAGAGAAGGCGACATGGGGGCAGTAGGTGCTGGTGGAGAATTCGCCGTAACAATATGACGGCATGACCAGAACGGCAGGGCTCAGAGACGGTGATTTGTGTGGTGTAGAAACGAGTCTGAGGACCAGCATCCGGCGGATGTCATCCAACAAAGTCAGTTTAAAAACCACAAGCGACTAGAAAAGTCCTGCTTCAGCCAGAGCTAACAAGGAGAAGTCCCGCTGATCCTGCTCGATGACGGGCCCGGTGAGTCTGGAACAAAGAACTCGAATGCTAGAACGCAAAACAGCATAACGGCGAATTGGGGAAAGGAAAGGTTGCACAACTGATACTGCCCTTGGAGCAATATTCAGAACTCTTGATCTCCTGCCCCTGATTTTCTAAACGAAAATCCTTGTCGACGGCCACCTGACGGCTGCGCAGGTCCTTGTTAAGCGGGAGCCCAAGTATCTCCAGACTAGAGATAAAACCCATAAGTCTCAAAAAGCCCGTAAGACTTGACCTCTGTTTGCTCAAATCCAAAGAGACGACACACGACAGACCTGTTCTTCGACCGCCCCTCTGTCGATGGCCGCCCGTCGGCTGCGCAGCTCCTCGTCGATCTGCTGCTCTTTCAACTGCAGCCGAGCCGCCTCCTCTTGGAGACGCGCCTCCTTCTCCGCCAGCTTTGCTGCCAAGCGCTCCTGTGTTTATAAAGGCAGAAGATGAACAGTAGGTCGGGCAGAGACGACTATCTTTGAGCAATTCCTAATATCATGGCTCCTTCGCGAAGCGTTTATTGAAGTCGAGCGTCATCAAAGACATGTATCCTTTCCTGCCAGTTTCGCTTGAGGGTGCTCCTGGATTTGGCAAACAAAAGAAGAATGTAAGGATGCGATCTCGACTAGGTATCCCATTTTCCAAATTCTGAGTGCTCATCCTCAGTGTGCGTCCCAAGCGCTGATCCTGGATCGAAGCCGGGCTATTGGAGACGCGCTTCGTATCCTGCCAGTATTGGTGGCCGAGCGCTCCTGTGTTACATGCCCGGAATTAGTGCGCCATTCATATAGTATCACAACGTCCGCCGCGGTCAAGTTGCTAACCCTATATCAGACGTCAGAAGGACGAAATCAGTAGATCGACTTGGAAGCGACATCATGATAAAGGTTGCTCACCTTCTCTCTCGCCGCTTCCTGCTTGACCCGCTGCTCCTTATCCTGGACCGCTTTGAGCTTCTCCCGCTTCTCCTCCTCCACAGCCGCCCTCGCCCGTTCCGCCGCTTCCTTTTCCGCTTCCGCTTCGTTCCGCTCTGTCCGGGCGGACTTCCGCTCTTCCTCTATCTCTCTCTGCCGGGCCTTGACCGTCTCTTCTCGTCGCGCGAGCTCCGACCGCTTTGTCTCTAGGTCTGCGGCATGCTCGCGGAGTTCCGTCCGCTCCTTCCTGAGGGCGGAATGCTCCGAGCGGAGCCGCTCTTGCTCCTCTTCAAGCTCCGCCCACCTGTCAGGGGAAAAACATGATCTTATGCTCTTTTTTGGGAAGAAAAGTGAAAAGCTTTCCCATGGGAAAGAACCGAGCACTTGGTCGATCAATAAGCTTCGTAGCAGAACCAGAAACCAATCAGTGAGGGAAAGAGCTTTTGAAGTCCCAAAATAGCTGGCGAAGTGGAGCCAACCACCAGCTCAGCAGATTTGTCTAGCAGCGTCTCCTCCCTCAAAGGTCTGGCCGCTGTTGTATCGCCTCAATAGAGTCGAAGCTTCGAACTTACGTACAGAAACGTGTGCGTTCTTTATCACTTAGAGAGTTCCTTATCCAGCACCGCCCCTTCTACTTCCGCCTTGGCCACCTTGAGTCGCCGCGTGTCAGCTTCAAACACAATAAGCATGTGGGAGGGGGAGGGAACTTTGATAACGAACTCCAGAAGATTGTGCGTCGGCTTTCCTCCTCACTACTTCCGCATCCTTGTCTAGAACCGCTCGTTCCACCTCCCCCCTTGGCCGCCTTGAGTCGCCGCGTTTTCAGTTTTGAAACAAAACGAGCATATGGGCGGGGGTTGGGAACTCAACAAGGAACTCCAGAACATTGTTCGTCGGCTTACCTTTTAGCAAGTTCCGCATCCTTGTCCAAAACCGCTCCTTCCACCTCGGCCTTTGCCGCTATGAGTTGCAGCGTGTCAGCTTGAAGCAGAATGAGCCTCTGAAGCAAGGGGGCGGACACAGAAAAAGTAACCAAAATTTTGCGCGTCAGTTTACCATTTAGCGAGTTCCGCATCCTTGTCCAAAACAGCCCCTTCAACCTCCGCCTTTGCCGCCTTGAGTCGCCGCGTGTCCCCCTCTATGCGTTCCCTCTCCCGCGCCTGCCGCTCTGCAGTTGCCTGCGCCTCGGCGACCATTCCCCGGGCGGCCTTCAACTGCGCCGCGGCGGCTGCTTGAGTCTCGGCGACAGTTTTCTTTTCTTCTTCCTGCAAAAGGAATCAAGGCATATTATCACTTCTCTCTACTCTTGAATCTTCGGGTGTTCAATGAGCAACCTGTTTGGCCAGGTCCAGCGCGAAAAGGTCAGGACAGATACGCTCGGAGAAGCCTACACTGCGGTGACCATTCCTGGGCAGCCTTCTATCTGAGCAGTCGCCAGCCGCTTGAGTGTTCATGACCGCGCGCTTCACGTCCTTTGATAAAGAAGACGAAACCAGTTTCCCAAGATCGCGCACTTCTTCCCCAAGCCGTAAAGCTGATCACCCTGAAACCCTTAACTCTAAGAAACATAGTCATTCCCAAAGAAAGGAAAAACAACCGATGTTAAGAATCTATCTAAGTTTGGACAGAGGACTGGGAGCAAGTAAAGGCATATGCTTATGATGGCCCCGTTCCGGAGGAATCGTCTCTGCACTTGTCCGCACTTCGGCGACCAATACCCGAACGCTGCAGCTGCGTGTTCAATTTAAATGTTTGAGCGACCAACAAAGAGGAGACAAAAGCCCTGGAAAAATGAAACAAGACTTACCAGCTCCTTTTTCTTCCCCTCCAGTTCTTCCTCCGCCCTCTGCAGCTTTGCCTTCAGCCGCGCCTGTTCCTCCTCCCTCTCTTTTCTCCTCTTCTCTAGTTGTCGCTCCTTCTCTTCGACGACCTCCAGCCGTCTCGCGGCCGCCTGCTGCGCCTCCTCCGCGCGCTCCTCCAAAGCGCGCGCGCGCTCGGCGCGCGCTTCCAGCTCCTGGCTGCGGAAGGAGGTCTTCTCCTCGGTGGTCATGAACTCCCGCTTCATCTGCATTTCAAGATGTGCTTGCTTGATTGTACGTACATGTTATTAAGAAAATCGTTTTACTTTTTCGTTATCTGTTTGAGAAGACAGGAACGCTTTGATTATGTATATTTAGACAGTCCGTTCCAAACGGTTCCAGCTCCGGGCTGCGAAAGCCGGTCTTCTCCTCGGTTCCTATGGATCCTCGCTATGTCTTTAAAGTCGGAAACGCTGGCAGTAATGATACAGTTGCGGAAAGTGGCGGCGCTATCTGATAGAATGAAAGTCGACTTCAGACACGAACTGCCGGTTTTTTAGCTGAGGAAGGCGGTTTCCTTGGTCGGTGATACTGAATATCCCTCACATCTGCAAGCGGACTCAAAAGCGAAAGCATTTAAATTTTGCGAGGTAAGCCGAGAGGTTACGGTGATAAGAACGAGAATGTCAACACGAGCGTCGATTCAGAAAGCTTTCACCTCGCGCCCTAACTGCACAGACGGGCCTTCCACTTTGAAAAACCTCTGGTACCGGGACCCTCGGCCGGATATATCCCATCCAATGATCCAAAAGAACATCAAAGCAGAGGTTCGCCTCAACAGTTGTGAACAAACGCCATCAAGAGCACCGCAACCAGTTACCTGCGACTCTCTCTGCGCCATCTCCTTCTCCCGCCTCGCCATAAGTTGCTCCAACCGGGTAGCCGCTTCTTCCCGGTTAGCCACTTTCGCAGCCAGTTCCTCCACCGCTGACTCTCGGGCCCGAACCTCCGCGAGAGCCCCTTCAAGTTTCCGGGCCTCCTCTTTCGCGGCCGCCTCGCGCAGATTGGCGTCCTGTAGAGAAACGAGCTGACGTCTCAGCAACTGTCCTTTCTTAGGTTCCATACTGTTACTGCCAACTTCCGGGCACAAACGCCTGCGAGAGCCGCTTCGAGCTTTTTGGCCACTCCTTCTGCGGCCGCTTCGCGCAGATGGCGTTCTAAAAAGCAAGGAGGGGACGTTCAAGGCAAGCAGCTGGCGTCTAAGGGCATTATCGTGTTCGTCGACGTGTGTGCTTTGACGTGCGCCAGATACGCTTCGAATATCAAATAGGCAGGTCTCTTCTTTCGCGACTGTCTCGCGCGTTTTACCGCCTAAAGACGTTGTGTGAGCGCAAACTAAGGTCAGCGTATGTCACAAGTCTGGTGCCCTGGATGTGCATCAATCACGGCTTCGCATCCGCCGACAGCCGCCTTCAGAGAGTGTCCGGACGAGCAAAGAAAGGTCATTAGAGAGCATCAGCGTATCGACGCAGCAACGCATGCAACCACCGAGCTCACTGAAGAGAAGAAGCGAGCGAACTGCAGTGGAAGCTCTCGCAGCCGCTCTCTCACAGCAAGCTCTTTGTCACTTTGCCTCCCGCCTTCTCTGGGTTTGATTCGTACTTTGATTCGTAGTTTGATTCGTAGTTTGATTAGTAGCTGCAAGTATATGCTCCTAATAGATTGGAATTTTTGGACTGCGAAGCCAATCACAAAATCGGTCGCACGCTCTTCTGTCATAGCAGCCAGCCCTTCTTTTCGCTAAGCTGGTCGCTTCCGCTGCTGCCCACTTCGGCTTTCCAGCAGCTGAAACCTTCCCCAAACCAGAGCGGCAAGGCTTTCATAAGGAGTCCCGATCTTAGAGAGCATTCTCACCTGCTCTCTTTTCCTCGCGGCCAGCTCTTTCTTCTCTGCTATGCTTCCCGCCTCCGCTGCTGCCGCCTTCAACTTCTCGGCCGCCACCTTTTCGTCCAGTGCCCGCTCCTCTGCTTTCCGCGCCTCGGATCGCAGAGTCTGTCCTTCTAGTTCCAGCTGAAGAGAGCAGACAAGGAATGACGTCAGAGAACCCGTCATGGTCTGTAGCTTGGGAACCATTTCGAGCGCGAAGGTCGTGATTACGGCCGTTTGAAGAGCCGAGAGAGAAGCTACCCTTCAATGCCCACCTCTGTTTCACAAGGCGTGACACAAGCATGTGAGGAGTGCTGCTTGTTCAACTCTCAAACGTGTCTAACTCCCGCTTTGCTGCACAGTTTCAGTGTTCAAGACCAGGAGTTTAGAGGCCCCAAGGGCTCGACGGGGTGCATTGCGATCGATTAGACGTGTTCCAGCCTCCAATGCTACTCATACTTGATTCCAATGCTTTTCACATCATTCAGAAGAAGGTAGTCCTTCCATAACCCGGTTGACTATCGTCTCTGGGTCATAAAAAACGTTCCTCGTGCCTTTGCGAGGAGAAACTTTTCAAACAGTGGCGACAAGCCTCTTTTTGGATTCTCTGAAAGAAACGCTGGTTGTCTCGCGCGCTCTCGTCGATTTTTGCAGTGTCCTGGAGCTTTCCCCCTGACCTGGAGATCCTGAGATAGAGTTGAGCAACCTTTGGTTCAGCAGAATAGAAAGCGACTCGCTCCTCACCTCGTCTCGATCTAGCCGCAGCTTGTCCTGTCCGCTCTTGAGCGCCCTCTCCCGCTCTTCGCACTTCTCTTCCCGCACTTTCATCAGCTCGCTGCTCCCTATAGCGTCCCGTTTCAAGCGCTCCTCTTCCGCTGCTACTGACCGCTCCCGCCTGGCGACTTCCGCTAAAGCAGTGCCAGTTTCAGCGCGTTCTTTCCTCGCTGCTTCCAACGCCAAACGACCCTCTGCAGAGCGGGAAGGATCGATGTTTAGGCCTGCTTTTCTTCTGATGATACTCAGCTTTTTATGCTTGGAGTTTTAGGTGTAACATCTCTTTTTCTGCTGTTACTGACCACTCTCGCCGTGCCACCTCAGCAAGGACGGTACCAGTCTCCGCGCGTTCTTTTCCGGCGGCTTCTAAAGGCAGACGACCCTCTGGAAAGAAAAGAAACATCTAGTTTGGAGCTATTCAGGGTGTAGATTAGTCTCCGTTCGATGTTTCGAGCCTTCTGACAGATGGCTCTATTGCTGTCACTGACCGCTCCCTTCTTGTGACTTCCGCCAGACCAGTTGCGCTTCAGAGCGTTTTTTCCTTGCGGCTTGGAACGCGAGACGACCTCTGCAAAGATCAAGGGATGTGATTTTCGGACTTTTCGAAATATTGGATACTTTGTTCCAACGCTCGAGCTTTTGGTTAACGGGTCTTCATTTGCTGCCACGGACCGCTTTCGCCGCGTCCCGTCACCAAGGGCGGTACCCGCCTCAGCGCGTTCTTTCCTAGCGGCTTCTAACGCCTGACGACCCTCCTGTTTAAGGTTGGAAAGGAGGTTTGAGATAAGTTGCGTGCACATTTCGTGTATTTGAGGAACGCAAACGGCTTTTCTTCCGCCCATACCGAGCGCCCTCGCCGTGCCACGTCAGCAAGGGCAGTGCACGTCTCAGCGCGCCCTTTTCGTGCGGCTTCTAAAGCCGGACGTCAATTTGGAAAGAAAGAAGCAACTATTCATGGTTTGAATGGTCCGGGTATACGGCTTTGGCTTCTGGTGCACCGCTCCTCTTCCGCTGCTACATAACGCTCCGGTCGCGCCACAACCGGGCGATTGTCTTGCGGCTTCATACGCCAGACGACCCTTTGATCGAGGTTGGGAAGGGCAATCTGACAACTGAATAGGATGACGGATTCTGCTTAATGGTTAATGGCACCTCGTGTGAGCGACTAGACACTCCTGCCGGGCCACCTCGGTATAGGCGACTGGCTCAAAATCTCTTTTTGCGCCGCTTTCAGAGCGGCTGACATGATGAACGTTACGACGAAGCAACTTTTGGGCAAGAGTAACTCGTAGGGGTCAGGCGACTTTGACGAATTTGCAGCCGCAGCTTACAAAACATAAATACAAACGGGTCGAGATAGCGGAAGTACGCACCACGGATTCTTGAATCCAGGCTGACCAGCCTCTTTTCCCGTGTGCGGTTTCCACGATCAGGGGACGATCAACTGAAACAAACCGGATGGTCCGGCTTTCTAAAGATAACGACAGCAAAAACGTTGCCCAAGTGAGGGGAGCCACGTGCCCTTACCTGCCAGCATCTTGGCAGCCTTCTCCTCCCGTCGCGCGTTTTCTTCGCCCATTGACTCCTCCCGTGCCTCGATCTCCCGCTTCAGCGACTCCATCTCCTTGCTCTGGAAAAACAGAAACGCGGTGTCAATGTAAGAGATGCTCAAACATGACTTGGGACTGGATCTGAAGTGCGACGTTGTTGGACGGACGGTCGGCCAGCATCTTTCTTTCAGCGACTCCATCTACTCGTTGAGGAAAGCAGAAATGTGGTGCCAAAGGAGCTGGTCTGATTTGGATCACAAGAGAGGGTTGCCGTTAGAGGACTCTCTCGTTGAGCAGGAACCGAGAAGAGAGGTTTCGCTCCCGAAACACCCTGAAAAGAGAGTTTTGTCACACGATTGTGATAGTGACCAGCTTCGAGATCAGAAACGTCGTTGTGGAGGTCGTCCGTGTTGAGAACCGGGTTCTCCAGCAGAGACCGCCCGGTCGAAGCCAACGAATTTGCGGTGGAAAGTACCGGGATGGCTCCCGCTGTATCTTAGCCGCTCCTCCCCTTCCTTGGACGTTCTGCCGGGACTTTCGCAGTCGCTTTCAAAAGCCGACTACTTTTGAAGCTCTGACATGTTCAGCGGGCAAATGGTAAAGGGAACAAAGAACAAACATGTTTTTTTCGTTGTCCAGGAAACTGATAATGGTACGAAGTTCCGTACCCATTCTTGAGCCTCCACCGCTGCTTTGGCCCTCTCGTCCTTGAGCGAGCGCTCCCGCGCCTCTAGTTGCTCGCGCGCTTCCTGCAGACGCGCCTCGTCCGCACGTGCGGCATCCATGCGCGACGATGCTTCGGCCATCTGCAGAACAGAAAGCACCTGTTAGCCAAGCTTGTCTCGATCCTGTTAGAAGATGTACTGCATGCATACGCGACGATGCTTCTGCCATCTGCTGAAACAGGGCTGCATTATTCAAATCTTCCATCCATCATAAAGCGGTATCTTGGAATGTTTATTGGACAAAAGTAACTCGCCCGATTTCAGGCACACCAGCGTCTATTAGGGAGGGAGGTTTCACCGTACGGGGAATGATCTTTACATTTGAGTCATACTTCGCGTGCATTTCTCAAGTGAAGCCCGTTGCGAAAGCCACACCTCGTTACAAGCATTTTAGGGGGCCATATGCAAGGTCACCCATATACCAAATGCATCAGAGAAGGTGCCATTCTTATAGAGCTGTCTTGACCTTTCAACCTGTCACTGAAATGGGGTTCAGTCTCAATCTTTCTAACGCGCAAACACTAAAAGTTTCTCACCATCGATTTTGCGGCCGCCACCTGTTTGTTCCGCTTCTCTTCTTGCTCCTTCCACTCCCTTCTCTCCTTCAGTGCGTCATCCTGTTCATTTCGCGCGTCATCTAACCGCTTCTTGAGCTCCTCCTGTTGCGCCGCCACAGCTCTCTCTCGCCCAACCAGTGCGGCCTCTCTGCAAAGAGCCGAAATCCCGTTCAGACATTCCGTTGAGCTTACGGTTTCATTTTGTTCAGCCGCTTCTTCGGATCCTCCTGTTGCGTCGCCACCGCTCGCTCTTGCCCAAATAGTGCGGCCTCTCTGCAGGGCACCGGATATGGATTCAGCGTACTGGCAAGTCAACCCCGAAATCTTTACCGGTATCGTAAGCATGAGGACAGCTGCCGTTTCTTCAGCTCTTCCTGTTGAGCTGCCGCCGCTCTCTCGCGTCCCACCAGTGCAGCCTCACTGCAAAGAGCCAGGATCCCGTTTCAGACATTCCGTTGATCTTCCGTTTCCGTTGCAGAGATAGAAGTCTGTCCAGCGGCTTCTTCAGCCCCTCCTGTTGCGCCGCCACAGCTCGCTCTCGCCCCACCAGTGCGGCCTCTCTGCACAGAACCAGAATTCAAGACAGACGTTCGGTTGACCTTCCGGTTCCATTTTGAACTAGAAGTCTGTGCAGCCGTTTCTCCAGCTTCTTCTGTTGCGCTGCCACAGCTGGCTCTCACCCCACCAGTCCGGCTCTCTGCAGTGAACCAGAGTATGTTCCGCTGATGTTCCGTTCCCCTGGCGTTCAGTCAGCTGCAGTTTCGTTTAAATGGGACGTTACAATATAAGAGAGATAATGCATCAATCACCCCTGTTGCACCGGCCCGGCCCGCTCTCGTCCCAGCAGCGCAGCTTGTGAAAAGTCCGGGCATGATGTGCAGGAAACTACGTTCAGAACAGCCTGACTCTCCTAAAAATCCAGTCATGAATGTCTCAGCTCTTCTCAAAGTGTGTGCCTGTTTTACGGACTTCAGGATGCAGATACCGATCAGGGACACCCGCAAGCTCCTTTCTGTCGCCCTAGCAAAGTCCTCAACCTGAAACGTGTCGCCTCTACGCCCGTGCTCGGAGCTGCAACGAGTGCCCCACACCAGAAAGTTCTTTCACTTAAGAGAAGGTTGCAGGTCTGCTACCGGACAATTTGACGAACTAAGCGGCTGGCCTGCACCACAATCAGACCGAGATTAAAACCAAGCTAAGACCAGGCAGAAACTACGGTCCCAGGACCTTTTTCTGGGCAGATTCGCACCCCAAAGGTCACCATTCTCTCACTTACGGCTCCACTAGCGCAGGCGATCTCTCACCTCACGCCCAGCACGCGCTTCGCTTCCTCGATCTGCTGCATCGCGCGCTTCGCCTTCTCTCCCTCCGCCTCCAGCCCCCTCTCCTTTTCTCCCACCCCTAGTTCGCGCGCCACCACCTTTTCGTGCATCTTCTCCAAGGCCCTGTCCCGATCGTCCAACGTCTTTTTCCGCGCCTCTAGTTCTGTCTCTTTCTCCCGCGCTCTTTCCAACAGGGCCTCCGCCTCTTCCGCTTGGCGCGTGAGCTCCTCCGACCGCTTGTTCTGCGCCTCACGCAGTTTCTGCAGCGCTTTTTCCTCCCGCTCTAGTTTCTGGGCGTGCTGGAGTGCCGCGGTCTCGGCGGCGGCAGTGGATTTTTGAAGCGTCTCAATGCGCTCCATAAGCATCGCGCGGTCGATGTCCAGCTGCGCGTGGCGGGCCGAGACGCGCGCTTCACTAGCCTGCAGAAACAAAGGTCGATGTCAGGTTCTGATTGCCCCGATAATCCTTGACAAAGTGCTCTCAAGATGTACCTCTCAATTGACACTCGAGAAGAGGTAAGAGGCAGGTCAACTTTGGCGATATGAGGCGCTCTATGAGGATTGCGCGGTCAATGTTGAGCGTGGCGGCGGAGACGCGCCTTCGCTAGCCTGCAGATGAGAGTGGTGTTCCTTTAGGGTTTTGTCCTTCGCAAAACTAACCTACACCTCGTTTTAAACAGGCCCTCTCTTTCTACAAGCCGTAAGATGGTACAGTGTCAGCCGTTTCTGCGCTTCCGAAACGCGTCGTGAGCATATGTAAGGTCGAGGAAAGCATATGCCAGAACGCCTTTTGTACATACCTGGACAGAAGACGGTCGTAAGTAGGTCTATTACTTCCTTGTACCCTTTTCTGAGCACCTCTCTCCTCCTTCCGAAGAAGCAGAAACAACGGAGCAAAGGAGGGTGTTTTTCACCCACCTTCAAGGCCTCGTTCCGCGCCTCTAGGTCGTCTTCCGCCGCGGCCAGCTTCCGTTCCTTGTCGGCCACTTCCGTTTCCCGCAGCTCGAGCGCCGCGCGCGCACCCTCTACCATCTCCTTCGCGCGCCGCTCGCGTTGGCCAGCTTCTTCTTCTCGTCGCTCTAGAGCCAGCTCGTGTTCTGCTGCTTCCTGTAGAGAGACGGAAGGGGTAAACGTCGTGAGATGAGAACGAATGACGTAAGAAACGTGACAGATTGCAGTCTCTGAGTAGGAATCAGCATTTCAAGAAATATCCAATCGCTGCTTCATCTCCTTTGCGCGCCGCCGGCCTCCTCTTTTTTGCGCCGCTCTAAAGCTAGCTCGTGTTCTGCCGCTTCCTGTAGGGCGGAAACACGACAGAGTTTAGGACAGATGCAAGCGATTATATCGAAGGTCCAGTTTGAGCAGCTCTTAAGCGCCACTCGCGCACTCTCCCCCATCTCTTTCCGGCGCTGGCTCGCGCCGCCCCGCCTCTTCTTTGCAGTACTCCAGCACTAGCTCGTATTCCATCCCTTCCATAGGGCGGAAAGTCTTAGGGACGTGCAGACAGAACGATGTACAAAGCGAGGACAGACTGCAGAATAATTGGACACTAAAAGAGGGCCAGGTCTGAGCTATCTTGAGCGCCGCTGGCCACACCTAGTCTCCCCTCTACTCCGCACACTCCACCACCTAAATCACGCCGTCCCTCTTGTTGTTACCGCGTCGTACTGTTTGTCGGAAACCTGAAAAGTGAGTCCTTCACTGAAACGAAGAGGAGCAGACTTCGGCACGCCATGTTCAAGAGGCGGCTCATCGTCTCTTCTCTTTCCGCGCACTCCGCGCCTTTGCTCGCGACGTCTCGCTCCCAGTTCGTTGTCGCCTCATGCTTTCGTGAGGGACCCAGAAAGAGGTACCCAGAAACTTCGTCGAAGAAATGTAAAGAGCACCCTACCTTCAAGTGACGACTCATCGTCTCCTCTCTTTCCGCACACTCCGCCTCTCGGTTTGCGACGTCTCGTTCCCGCTTCGTGATCGCCTCGACGGTCTCCCGGCACTCTCGCGCGGCAGCTTCCGTCTCCTGACGTTGCATGTCCATTTCGCTGACGGCAGCCTCCATCGCCGTAAACCGCTCCGTTAAGGCGGTCTGGGCTGCGGCGATCTCACGTCGTTGTTCCTCCTGATTGAGAGTCAACAGAAACAGGGTTAAGAATTTTGGACACGCGCGGAAATATCACGTCTCGTATTTCGACGATATCACGGTTTTCTTGACGTTGCATGTCCATGTCACTGACGGTTGCCTCCATCGCTGAAAACCGCTCCTTCAAGCCGCTCTCAGCTGCGGCGATCTCGCGCCTCTGCTCCTTCCGATGAAGAGTAGACCAGAAACAGACTCAATAAGAGCGACTCGCGTCGCCACGTGAAGTCTCAGATTGTGAAACATGTCTAAGGCTGACGAAATCGATCTGTCGCTGACGGCAGCCGCAATTGCCGTAGACCGCTCCGGTCAGGGCGGTATTGGCTGTGGCAATCTAGTCGTTGCTACTTCTGTGAAGAGATACATTTGCGAGTTTGCAAAGGCAGCTCTATGGATCAACCAGAACTTGAGAATGTGGAAGTTCTCAATCTGCCGCAAGTTCGATTCGATGCAACCTGCTTCTGGCCTGTGTGCATCCAGCAATATTCCAACTTCGACCGTGATAGAGCTAAAAGGAGGACCGGAAAATCAACGTATCAGAAAAGAACACTAGGACTCTTTTTCTGTTTTTTTTACACACACAAGAACCAAAATGAACATTAGGATGCCCCACCAGCTTCTTGGCTTCCAGGGCGAGGCTGTCCCGCTGCGCCGCGACATGCTTGTATCGCTCTTTAACGTCTTCTTCTCTTTTACGCAGCAGCTTCTCGTTTTCCTCCTCTTGCCGCTGCACGTTCCGGATCATCAGCTCCATCTCTTTTCGCCGCTCCTCCAATCTGAAAGCAGACGAGAAACAGTCGCGTCAATGGTGCTATGCCGTTATGTTCAGCAGTCGTTCGTAGCCCTCCCTCGCATCATTTGAAAGCGCAAAACCGGAGCCTTCTCATGATCTGCTCTATTGTCCGTTGTTTCGCCCCTTCTCCAATGGCGTTCTTCCTTCGTGCCCGCTTTCGGCGCCTCCAAAGCGAAACGCCTCCGATCTACGTGAATGCGAGAATCAAGAACTGAGTACCGATACAAACACTTCAATTCTCACCTGATTTTAAATCTTTCCTTCTGCCCCGACCCCTCCTTTCCGTCCCACTCCACGCCTATAACTCTTTGCGATGCAGAAAGCTCACCCTAATTCTAGGGTGTCAGAGCAAAAAGCCTAAAAGGTCAGGTCCTCAAACGTTTCAAACCTTAGCTGTCTCGGCCCTTTCTTTCTGCCTTGCCCTTCCTTTCTTTTACTTTCCACGCCCTCCATCTCGACCTTCGCCGCCTCCTCCAATCCCGACACCCAAACCCCCGTCACACAACTAAACCAAACCAAACCGAACCAGACCAAACCAAACCAAACCAAACCTCGTTCGAAGTTTCAGAAGCCTCCCATGCTTACCTCGTTTCCGCCCTTTCTTTCTGTTCCCGCCCTTCCTTCCTCTCCCGTTCCACTCCCTCCATCTCGACCTTTGCCGCCTCCTCCAACCGTCTCGCGCTCTTCTCCTTCTCGCTCGCCTCCATCAAGAGCGCGCGCGCGCGCGCGGCCTCAGCATGCGCGCGCTCGGCGTCGGCGCGCGCGCGCTCCTCCTCGCTCTGGAGGCGCTCCTCCCGGCGGCTCACGGCGATCTCGCGCGCGCTCAGGCTGGCCTGGCGGTCCTTGAGCTCGCGCACAGCAGCGTCCAAATCCTGTAAATCAGGAGATTGGTTGTCAATCACTCACTTCTCTTTCGTTTATCGTTGGGTTTTTCAGATGGTTGAGGTTTTCCGAGAAACGCTGACAGGCCGTCACAACATGGGGTGGTTGGTTTGCCGTACTTCAAGCTTGGGCTCTGCTGCATTGACATCGGCGAGTTGGAGTAGATTCATTGCATTCCGACATCCTATCCAACCGGAAAGACCTTAAGAGACCAAACGGGATTTTGGGCTCCATAACCTTCAAACGAAGTACCGCTCGCCACGCGTCTTGAGTGCAATATCTCATCGGCCGTCTTTTATGTGAAACCTTTTCCGCTGAATATAGGGCAGCCAGCTTTGGAGTGACCTCAGCACACTTCTCAGGCCTGCTCAGCCCTGAAGTTTGGAAGGAGACTACAACCCATTCTCACCCACCTCTCGTCTAGAGTGCAGTTCTTCCTCCAGCGCCTCTTTCTCCTCCACCAATTTGCGCTCGACCTCCGCCAGCCGCCCCTCCTGTGACGTCAGCCGCTCCTCTCGCCGTCGCGCGCGCTTCTCCGCGATCTCAAACTGCTCTTGCGCGGCCTCAAATTGACGCGCTTGCTCGTCGAACTGCGCCGCTTTGACGTCCATGGCGCGAGTAGCGGCTTTTGCTGCGGCCTCCATTTCTTCCAACTGCAAGACAGAGAAGCAATAGACGTTGCACGGCATTGGTCGGCGAACCAAAATATGCTGGAGTGAGGAAGTCTTGAGTCGTCGAGCAGACCACGCATCCTCAAACTGACGCAGTTGATCTTGGAAACGGGCGCTTTGATTTTTAGAGTGCGGGTGGTTGCTACGCCGCGGCCTCGATCTTGAGTAAGAAGATTGGAAAAGAAGCGATCCCGTGATGAAGTTTCTCCATCAGGGAGAACGTGAGCAGCATTCAGTTGACAGTGTTAGGTCGCAAACCGTGCGGATGACATGGAAGCTTCTCGGAATTCACTTGGATGCAGGATTCGTCGAGGCATAACACATCGAAGGTCAGGACGCGCAGTCCCGATTTCGGGCTTGCTTCAACTTTACCTCCGCTTGGGGCGGCTTGGCCATGGTCGCGCATCGCTTTCAGGAATGCAGAACCGTGACGGCGATTTGCAGCGCCGTTTGCAGGCAAAGCCCTCGAATTCGAATCACAGATTCACAGAGCACGAAAAAAATGGAAAAAGTGGAATACACACATGAAAGTGGTCAAGGAACACTACCTTCTTCAGCTTGCTCTTTTCCTCTTCCAAAGCCTCCCCCTCTCTCCGCAGCTCCTTCTTCGCGTCTTTCAGCGCCAATTTCTCCCGCTCTAGTTCCTCCTTCCCCTGCGCGATTTCCTCCTCGTGCACCGCCAAAAACTGCGCCGTCTTTTCCGCTCTGCTGACGCGCGCGCTCAGCTGGCCCTCGCGCGTGCTGAGCTCAGCGGCCTTCTCCTCGAGGGCCACAGAGCGCTCCGCCAAATTCCGTTCCGTTGCAGCCTTGGCCGCGACTGCAGGGGGCGGAGAAAGGGTTCAACACCTGCCCAAGAATCAGACTCTAAAAGAATGTAATATGCGATGCTCCTATGATCCTGGAGCAGCTCGGCGAGCGTTTTCCTCAAGCGTTCCGCCTGCTTCGTTTCCGATCCAGCCTTATTCGCGACCGCAGGGGGCAGAATGGGAATCCAACAACGCCCCACAAAATATAAGGCTTGTGCTCAGCATAGAGCTAGATTTTGCGGTCGTGAAGCAGCACAAGGCAATCCGATCCTGAAGCAAGTTTTCTCACCCCACTTTCGTTGCGCCGCCCCATGCTCTTCTTGCGCCTCAGCCAATGCCGCCTTCAGTCCTTCTAGCGCCTTTTGAGACGCTTGCACAGCGGCTTCGCGCCCCTCTAGTCCTTCCAGTTCAGCTGCCCGAGTCTTGACCTCGCTCGCCTGCACAGAAACGCTGCGTGTCCGAAACCATAGAGTAGTATTGTTTCTCGGAGAAAACGTACTGTGGAAAAAGGACAAAACGAGTGCAGATAGCCGTAAAATGACATTTGAGACGCCTGCACGGGTGTCTCGCGCGCTTCCAGACCCTCCAACTTGGCAGCTTGGGTCCTGGCTTCGTCCATCTGCGAGCAGTCGCCTACGTTTCAGCCACGACGCACTCGGACTGGCCAAGATCATTAAGTCGTAAAGTGATCAGCTTCACTAATGACCAGCAGAAGCATCACAAGCACCCTTTGCCACCCGTCCTCATCGCATCCGATAGTAGAGCAGTCTGCAGAAGCAAAGCACGTCAAAATGTTGTTCTACAGCCCTGTCTCAGTCCGCGTTTGGCAGATTTGTCGGAATTTTCGCACTGTATCTTCCTTTCCGACGTAAGTAGAAAACTAATCTCGGAACTGATTACTGAACAACACACGTGGCGAAGTTGAAAAAAAGCAGCAAGCCCCACAAGCACCAGGACGTCTCAGAAGTACGGCGGAAAGCCTGGCAATCAGAAGCCCCTTTCTGCTTCTCCCTATCTTCTGTTCATCATTAAACGCTAAGCCGGGCAAGAGCAAAACATTGCTGTGGCCGTCAAAGTTTGGATTGCAGTCTGCACAAGAATAGTCGGAAGAATGACTCCCAACAACAAAGTTTTCAGAACGGGCAATCCCAACAGCAGAACGGTAGGAACAATGTCCTACAAACTGACACCTCGAAACTCTGTTCGTCCTCACCAGCTGCCTCAAGCGCTTCTCTTCGGTAGCCATCTTCTCCTCTTGTTCTCGAAGCCCTTCTTCCGCTTCCTCGATCGTCTTCTGTTTCTCCGCAAGAGCTTCCTCCTTGGCAGCTAACGTTTCTTCCAGCGCCGTGGCTCGTTTCTCGCACGCAGCAAGGGCCTGAACAGTGAAGACCAGAATTTCAGCTCTTTCGACTTGAACTTCGATGAAGCGCACTAGCGCTCGCAGAGAGGTGAGTCCCTCAAGAGAAGGCTAGCGGTTATCTTGCCTAACGCTTCTCGGATGGACAGCAGTCTCAGAAGAGTCTAAACGACGACATGATGCCTCCCCGTCTTGAGTGACTTCTTCATAAGCTTGCCATCGTTCCCAAGCCGAGACCGGATGCACTTTGTCCTATCAGGGTGACAATTGACTTGTTCCACTCTCGTGCTTAATCAAAGCATCTCTTCTACAGGAAACGTTTTGCCATTACGGCTGTGACAATCAAACATCTCGTTTCCTTGCGACAGCCTTCTCTTGTTATTACCCCTTGTATATACACTCCTTATCTCGACAAATTCTTGCAACAAGCGGTCTTGTTTCGACAAATCCTTATGACCCAAAGTGGGTTTTAAAGGAAGGACGGGCCAGCCGGTAAGCTTGATTCTCACCTCCTGTTTTGCGGTTAGCGTCTTATCCCACTGGGTTAGTCGTTGCGTGTCGTTTGCAATGCGGTCGCGCTCTGCAGTCACCTCTCTCTGCCGTACGGAAACCTCCTCGGACGACGCTCGGACACGTGCTTCGTGGTCCGACACCGACTGCAAAATCGTACATACATTATCAATCATCCGGCATTTCACAAGGTGGCAGTATGTATAGTATGACAGTCTAGCAGTCATCATCTTGCTTTGCGGGGCAGGAGACGGGCACTTGACATAAGTTCGCGCTCTGCGCTGAGCTCTCTTTGTCATACGGAGACTTTTTCGGACGACGCTCGGACACGTGCTTCGTGGTCCAAACCGACTGCCAAAGGGAACACGATTTTGTCCGGACTTTTCAGCAACCCTGGCGATCTGAGACTCGAGAGTCATTTAACGATGACTTTGCTTTGCAGGACTGTGCTTTGGTGTTCAAGAATGGATTGCGCGATCGACCAGAGATTGTCTGGACTATGCAAGATTCCTATCTGGCAGGCAATGGAGATATTTTGAGGGTTTCTGCTTTGCAGGGCAGAAGACCTTTCGACCGTCTCCTTGCCGGTTGCTGAGATGCTGAGACGAATTTGCAGCCTTCTCGCATTTAGTACAAAGAACGGATTTAGAACAGGGCGGAACGAGACGGCTTTGACTCGAACGAGTCAGTTTGCGGTGCGCTGGTTCGGACAAGGCAAGAAGCCCCTCAAGGCATGGTTCCGACGAATTTAAGCTTGGAAGAGCATTTGTAACAGGAAGATGAAGCGAAACTCCTCATATTGGATAAGCGACGTTCCATTGAATCAAAGAGTCCTCGTTCAGCGAAACAAATGCTGAGAATCAAGGGGAAAGGTGAACTGTGGGACGCTCGCGTGCAACTCGTCACGATCTTCCTGCAAGCTGCAGCAGTCATCTCAAACAAAGACATGCTTCTAGAGTCTGTCTTCCTTTAAGAGGAAGTGGGGATGGAAGCGAAAGCGCAATTTGAGCGGAACCGAGTACGGAAGCGGAAGCGGAACAGGAACAGGAAATAAACCGGAACTCACCGCCGCAATCGCGTCCCTCCGCCTCGCCTCCCCGCTGAGCAGTCTCAAGAACTGAAGCCGTGAAACGGAAGCAGTGGAAGCAATAGAGAAACATCAGCGGAAGCGGCCCCGAAACCGGAAACGGAACCGGAAACGGAACCGGAACTTACCGCCGCAATCGCGTCCCTCCGCCTCGCCTCCTCGCTGAGCAGCTTCGCCCACCGCTGCAGCGCCTCCTCCCGCCGGACCAGCTCAGCGGCCGCCACGTGGCGCCCAACCAGAGCCTGCCACGTGTCGTCCCCTCCTTTCTCCGCCTCTCCCTTTCCGACTTCCGCGAAGAGGGGCTCGGCGGAGTAGCCCAGGTCTTCCAGCCGTAACGGAACGTGGCCTTTTCGACCCGGCGGCAAGTGGGAACCATATCCGTCTTTGATCTGACCTCGCTCTAGTTCCCACGCCTTTCTGCTTCCTTGGCCCTCTGATTCCTGAGAATGGACAACCATCTTTGCCGCATTCGGAACGGCTCCGTCAGCACCATCGTGCCTTTCTTCTCCGCTCGGCATCCGGTTTTGAGCTTCGCCCCACCGGGCCGATTTTGCCGCTTGTCGACCTTGGCCATTGGGATTCAGTGTTTCTTGAGATTGAGCGCCGCGTGTTTTTTGAGATTGTGCGTCGCTCAAAGATTCTAGATTCCGATACTCTCCCCACGCCGCGTCGCTTGAGGGTTCAGGGTTTTGGGCTCCGACCCACCGCTCCCCGGTTTGCGACTCGCGCCTCGCAAGCGCGCCCAACGCTTCCTTCACAACAACCGCTGCTTTCTCGATCTCGGCCCTTTCTTTCGTCGCCTTCTCCGCGTCTCTCCTGGCGTCGTTTCTCAGCCGTTCGATTACCTGGCGCTCGGCGGAGACCTCGTTTCTCTCGCGCGCTAGTTGCGCCTCCTTGGCTTCGAGTTCGGAAGTCCGGGCTTCGGCGGAGGTGTGAACGCGCCGTGCCCGCTCCTCCTGTTCTCTTGCTAATTTGGCAGCGCTGCTGGCCTGAAAGGGCAGCAGAACGAAGCTTGTGAACAAGAAGACCTTCTGCTGACTGTCAAACCTGCAAAAACGAAACGTTCAGACGAGCACCGCTCTTCATTCCTCTAGTTCAAGTTGCCGTGATGCCAAATAGAAAATGCAGCGCAGGTGCTGGACTGGGGCGAAATTGGCGACGAATCATTGGGACCATAATCCGCTAGCTCGACTTCGACCACCTTCCCGCTGCACTGTTTCAAAAGCCATTTCTCCTTACCGAGCAAACTCGCTAATGATAGGTTAAAGCGGACTTTGCACTCTTTATTGACGGTCGCACTTCCTGCCATTCGTTCAACGCAGCCTGGCGGCCTGGTAAGCCAGTTTCGCAGAGCTCTGGACTCGAACCTCAGAATTTCATAGTTGTCTGCCGCCATTGGTCGATGTCTTTGCTTACTTCGAAGCCCAAGCAGTAAGTTCACGAAACCCGAGACACAAGCTCCCACAGACTACAGCTCTTTGCGTCAAACTTATCTTCAAGTGCCTGGAGCATGGTCCTCCATCTTGGAGTCCAATCAAATTGGAAAGATATGCGACAACTCGAGATGCGTAGCAATACAAAAAAGATCATACGTGTTGATAGAAGGATGAAACAGACAGCGGTAGTGCGGACAAATTGAATCAACCCACCTGCGCTGCCTCCTCCTTGGCCGCACGTTCCCGCTCCCCCACAACCCTCTCCGCCTCCCGCACCCTCTCCTCTCTAGTTTCCACCTCGCGCTCTCGTTTCTCTGCGCGCTTGCGCGCCTCCTCCAAGGCGCGCGCGCGCTCCTCCGCTTCGACCGCCGCGATCCTTACCGCTTCTTTTTCTTTCGCAAGCTCTTCTCCCCGCCTGACTAGTTCTTCCCGCGTGCTTGCGGCGGATCGCGCCGCGCGATCGAGCTCGGACGCGCGCGTCATGGAGGTGTGTTCGCGTTCGCCGAGGTTTTTCTCCCGCTCCTCTAATTTGGCTTGGAGGACTGCCAGTGCGGCGGAGTCCTTCGAGAGGCGTTCGGAGCGGGAGGCGACGTCGGACTCGCGGGCCGAGAGAGATGTCTCGAGCTCGGACTGAAGACGACTGAGTGAAAATCAGTGAACTGACAAGGAAGGCTGGAAGCAGAAAGTTTCGGACCAAAGCCGTCAGATTTTGGTAGAAGGGCGGATAGCAAGGCATAAAACTCGCTCGAAGCGTGCTAAGAACAATCTTGAGCAGAGTGTCAGCAACAACAAGGTAAGGGGAATGGTTTCAAGAGCTTCGGCTAATGCGGCCTCTCTTAAAAGGGAAAAGATGGGGCGAGTGAACCTTCAGAAACAAGATTTTGATTAGAGAGTACGGACATCAAGGATGCAAAGGAGATGTAAATATCATGCGCTTCTAGGCTTTCAATTGGGACCCTTGTCTGTTTGATTTGGACGGTACGTCCGCCGATTCCCAACGCGCCTCGCTATCATGAAGTAAAACAAAAATTCTGAGGAAAGGACTGAAATGAACATGAAGTCGTTCTGGGTCCTTACCACCTTCTTGTCTGCTACCGCCTCCTCCCTTCTAAGCCGCTCCTCCCACTCTGTCAGCACCGCTTCCCGCTCCTCAATGTGCCTCATCGCTTCCGCTCTTACTTCTTTTCGCCACTGTTCCATCCCCTCCTCCTGAGCCACTAGCTCCGCGGCACGTGTCTGCACCGCACGCCGTTCTGACAGAACGGCTGCCGCCTCTGCTTTCGTGTCGGCAGCTTCTTGAAGGGCGGCCAAAGCAGATGCTTGGATCTCCTCCGCCTGGTGGACCAGCAGAAAGTACATTCAGCTTTCGTTTTGAAAGAGAACAATCGTGATCTAGTTATTGGAAGCACGTGTCTGCACCGTGCGCCAGTTCTGACAAAACCGCCGCCGCCTCCGCTTTTGTGTCAGCGGATTCTTGGAGCGCCGCTAGAGCCGATGCTTGGATCTCTTCCGCCTGAATCAGGGAAAGAAAGGTAGTGAAACGCCTCTAAATTTCGCCTTCGAATTTTAGTCCAAAATCAAGTTGTCCTGTCGATCGCAGAGGTGTGTGTTTCCACACCGCGCCGTTCTGACAAAACCGCCGCCGCGTCCGCTTTTGTGTAAACAGCTTCTTCGAGCGCTATTAGGGCAGATGCCTTCAATCCCTACGCCTGTGGGCAGAAATGAGATGAGTAATTCTCTTGTTGAAATCATTCGCCTTGAGGTACTCTCGGCGGCACGTGTCTGCACCGCACGCTGTTTTGACAAGAACGTTGCCGCCTCCTCTTTCCTGTCGGCGGCCTCTTGGAGCGCCGCTAGAGCGGATGCCTCAATGTCTCCTGCCAAGAAGCATTCATACAAACCAACGTCACCTTTCCTTCGAAATAGCAAACGCCTAAACTGCTAATCTGTGGAGCTCTTGCACCTGAAGAGACAACCGACAAGAGTTCGTTGCTAAGACCAAAAACGAGCCCCGTGCAACTATATCGGAACGTCACTCGGGCCTCTTAATGCTGCACCCAGGATGTGTTCGACGGAGTTTTCGAAACCTACGACAAAGGCAGGGAGTATAGGATATCATCGGAAATTATCGAGTTCGTACTTAAGGAATTGCAGACTGGCCATGCAACATCCTGGAAGCTAGATTGAGGTGCCCGAATCAGGCTTTCAGGCTGCTGATGACGCCCCTTCCCTTACCTGCTGTTTCGCCTTCCGTGCAGCCTCTTGCGCCTCCCCTAGTTCCTTCCTCTTCTTCACCGCCTCCTCCTCCCACTTCGCCTTCGCTTTCGCCCAGTTCTCCTCCCGGTCCGCCAGTTCCCGTTCCGCCACGCTCGTTTTCCGCCGGAATTCCCTCAGCTCCCGTTCGAGAGCTTGCTGTTCGGACGCCATTTCTGCGCGCGCTTGCTCGCGCTCGACTTCGAGGCGCGCTTTCATCGCGCCCCGCTCGCGGATCAGCGCGGCGAGTTCCTCATTGGCGGATTCGACGGCCTGGCGAAGGCTGGCGGCTTCCTCGCGAGCGCCTGGAATGAAGAGGGTGACGCAAGAATCGTTTTTGCAAGTCTGGTAACTAAAGAGTGACTTAACAGCGGGGTGACTTAAGATAAGCACCCGGGGGACGGGTGGGGTTAGCATGGTGGTTAGGGTGGGTTCGGGTGCGGAGCGGGTGATTATCTGGGTTAGGGTTTTTAGTTTGTTTGGTCGGGGATTGTGAATCTTAAGTCACTCACCCGTTAAGTCACCCCGGAGTTACCAGTATGTTTTTGCATCGTAGTTTCGCAGGCTGTAGCGCCTCTTCGTGGCCCGCCGCGAAGTAACACGCAGATTGCGTTTCCGGAATCGACGGCCTGTCACCATCGCGGGGCATCCTTATGGGCACCTTAGGTAGAGTTGGTCATGTCAGAAAGTCCATACAACAAGGTGGCAACATATAACACGGAGACAACGGGATGAGTCTTCTAAAGTACACGCTTGTGGAGTCGATGGACGTCCTGGCGCAGGCGGGATGCTTCCTCTCGCGCACCTGGTAAGAAATGATGGTCATTTACAAACTTAAGTGACAGTTTCCCAGATTCTTATTGTTCCTAGCGCCCCACTTTGAAACAAAGCGCCTTCATCGCGCCCCGCTCTCGGATCAGCGCGGCAGGCTCACAGAGGCGGGACGGCTTCCTCCCAAGCGCCTGAAGGAGACGATAACGTGAGCTGATAGGTTGCATAAGAGGCTCGAAATTTGGTACGGCTCCCGCGCGACTTGAAGGCAGAGCGATTTTTTGGAACACACTAATGGTCCGGCGGATTGACTTTTCCCTTAGCCCACGCGACGGCCTGGCGCAGGAGTGAGGCTTCGCTCTCTGCACGGTGAATACGGTGTTGGGAATGGAGGACGTACCAAGTAATCTGGCGAGCTGCTGGAGGGAGGGAGGAGACAAGGATTCAAGACTCGTCACGGTCGCAAGGTCCTTGTGCGTGGACAGAAAGAGAAAACAAAGGCGGGGACACGTTCTCGTACGGACATGCTGAACCCAAAAGGAGATGTGGGGTCCGGACATTCTCGCTAGACGAGGAGAACGACGCGCAGAGCTAGGAGTTCACAAAGTTCGTCGAACGACTCGACACCTGACCTTCTGTACCTTCGCACCGAGATGACAATCATTCTCACCTGCAAGGATACGCTCCGCCTGTGTTTTCGCCTCTTCTCTCCCCGCCCTCGCAGCGCTCTCGGCCGCCACTGCTGCGGCGCGGGCCCTATCTGCTGCGGCCGCCTCCGCCTTCATTCGTCGCAGGTCGTCCTCTATCGAGCCTCGATTCCCGTCCAACAGCTTCGCCTGAAGAAGAAAAGGTAGACAATTTGGTGGACCTACTTAAGCGTGAACTGCGCTGCCGCATTCAACTTCGCGTTCGACTGTGGCAAATCTGTCGCCAACCATTGTCCACATTTCTTCCAACTTTGCCCGTGGAAAGCGGAAAAGATAGAGGGACCAGCGCAAATGTGTGGCGTACACGAAACGCGGAATCCTGCAGCTGATCTTTTGGAGGTATTGTTCGTCTTAGCCTTCAGATTGTTGCAGCAAATTTGTCTGCAATTCGCCTCGTTCAATTATGGCACCTGCAGAACGATAGGGACAGTGCTGATATCAAGCCGCACCCGTACCACAGCACCGTCTCGCACCGGGACTCTTTCCGAGTTTATTTTGTTCAACCTGAAGCCCACGGCCACAAAATCTAGACTCTGACGTCCGGGTAGCTAGACACCAAAAGACGGGAGCGAAAATGGAATTACATTTTCCGGAGCGCACCTGCATGGACGCATCCTGCATCGCGGCTTCCGCCCGCTGCATCTCCCTCTGCACCGCCACCTTCTGCTTCTCGATCTCCGCCCGACTTTCCGCCAGTCTCCGCTGCGCGTCTCTCTCTGTTCCTTCCAGTAACGCCTGGCGTTCCGCCAGCCCCGCTTCCCGTTCCGCTAAATTGGACTCCAGTGCTTGGACACGTGCCCACGTCGAGCGGAGCTCTTCCTCGGCGGCAGCACGCGCGCGCTCTGCCTCGGCGCGCAAAGATTCAGCGGCAGTGATCATCTCGTCGGCGACCTGCAGAGTTAACGGACAGTTATTCGCCCAAGTACGGTAGAGCGACGGATTGAAAGAAACGAGGACCGGACAACAAGTGGAGTGGCGCGCGCGCGCTCTGCCTTGGCGCGGAGAGATTCGGCTGCGGTGATCATCTCGTCGGCGACCTGCGGGAGAAAACGACGCTCTTATTGATCGCTCACTCACGGAAGAAAGCTTATTGAGAAAGTCAAGCACTATACAATGAGAGAAGTTCTTTCTGGTGGCGCACGGGCGCGCTCAGCTTCTGCGCGGAGGGACTAGGCTGCGGTGATCATCTCGTCGGCGACCTGCAGAGTCAAGGGACCGTTACTTGGTCGCCATCCACGGTAAGAAGCGGATTAACGAATTCGAGCACCATACAACGAGAGGAGGTCTTCTCAGCTTAGCGCGTGCGCGCTCCGCTTCGGCGCGGAGCGATTCAGCTGCCGTGATCGTATCGTTGGCGACCTGCAGAGTCGAGGGCCACCAACTCGGTCGCCCAGAAGCGGATCGAGAAATCGAGCGAAGAAATAAGCAGAGTTCCTTTTTTAGCGGCGGCGTGCGCCCTGCCTTGGCGCGGAGCGACTCCGTTGCGATTATCATCTAGTCGGCGACTTGCGAAGTCGATTGCCAAACATGTGCTCCCCCACCCACGGTAGCGACAAGAATGAGAAATCGTAAACGAGCGGAGCTGTTCCGATCGGCGGCCCCACACGCCCGCTCTGCCTCAGCGCGGAGCGATTCAGCTGCGGTGATCATTTCGTCGGCGACCTGCGGGGGAAATTGATAGCCATCTGGTCGCCCCCAGTATGACAAGCGACTCGAAGAGATCGAGCCACGTCTCTTGATCGGGATGGAAGACACAATGGCAACGTAGTATCGGGATGAATCGAGTAAGAAGAGAACAGGTGAAATTGCAAACCTTGCGGCGAGAAGGAGCTTTGGAGACCGGAGTTGATTGTTGCGACCTTTGCTGTATTGTACTTTTCAAAGGTTATTGACCAGGACGAACTTTGTTGGTGGTGATGAATGGAGTCGGACCACTCTGAGATCACACACTCCGGGTGCGTCTCCCTTGCTTATGACCAGAACAAGCTTTCGTGACTCTTCCCGTCAATAGTCCAGCTTAGCGACCAACTCTTTTAAAGTGTTTCTTTCAAGCTTACCCACCGCATATAGAGGAGGCCCCTTTTCCGGAGAATTTCAAACGACGTTGATCAAGCATAACAAGAGAATGAGGCTACCGCCTCAAACACACCAGCTCATTCTCGGCAGCCGCTTTCTCGCTGACCTCCAGCATATGCGCCCTGACTCCTGATCACACTCCCAGAAAATAACAAAACCCTCGACTTCTCCAAAACTTCGATGACTTCCACCACGAACCAGAAGTAGAACAAGATTACTCCTCTGGACTCACCAGCTCATTCTCGGCAGCCGCTTTCTCTCTGACCTCCAGCATATGCTCCCACGCAGCCAGCTTGCTCCGGTCACTTCCCCCCTGGATGTGAAAAGCCGCGGTCTCTAGTTGTTGCCGGGCCGCAGCCAGCTTGGTTTGAACTCCGTCTTTGGGGTTCTTCACCCCGGGACCTAGCACAGTGGACACTGCAGTATAGGTTGCCGACCGACAACGAAAGCATTGGAGTCGTGGGTCAGAGTCATTCAGTAGAAATGTGCCACAGCATGACACACAATGAAGATTGAAATTTCTTTTGCAAAGAATAATCGTACGTCATACCACCGACTTGAGATGTCCCAATATGGGCCCCAATATGCTACGACACCAGGTCCCAGGACGGTCCCGCTTCCGCTTTTGCAGAACTTATCCCCTCGCGAGCGGTCCTTCCTCGACGCCCAAGCAAAGGCGCTTCTATACGTACTAAGCTTACTCATTCATATAAGACCTCACCTCTTTGAGCGACATGATGATGGTCCCCTTCTCCCCACGCAGGCTGTTCCGCGCCCCTCCTCTGCTGCCGCTCTTCCTGGTGTGAATACCCCCTCTCTCCGCGTCCATCGAGGTGTGAACTGGCACCATCCTGGACCTCACTTCGCTGGCCCCCCTGCCAAGAGTTCGCTTGCACTTTCTGCTGCAGCTCCTCCAATAAGTCCGCAGAATGCGCCTGACCAGCGGCACGGTCGGCCCCCCTTTGAGTTGCACGACGTTCAAATGACGCCCACTGAGAAAAGGTTAGAACCAAAGCTTAGGGCCACAGGTTAGAATCAAACCAACATCGAGCGTGTAAAGCTTTTGCTTATCCAGTAAATGCGCTGTACGGGTCTGTCCGGCTGCACGGTCGGCCCCCCCCGGAGATTCAAAGACGCCCGCTGAGAAAAAGGTTCGAACCAAAGGTTAGGGCCACAGGTTAGAGCGAGAGGTTATGCCAAACTAACACTGAGAATGTAAACGTTTTCGCTCCTCTGAATCCGCTGTACGCGCCTGGCCGGCGGCACGGTCGGCCCCCCACTAAGTTGCGGGACGCTCAAAGGACGCCACCTGAGGAGGTTAGAACCAAAGTTTAGGGCCGAAGGTTAGAGCCAAAGGTTCGAGCGAAACCAACACTGAGAGTGTAATTCTAACGCTGCTTAACGAAATTTGCTGTATGGGCCTGGCCGGCAGAACGATCGGCCCCCCTTGGAGTTGCGCGAATGACGCCCGCTGAGAAAAAGGTCAGGACCAAAGGTTTGAGCGAAAGGGTAGAGCCAAATCAGCGGTGAAAGTGTAAACCCTTTGCTCCTATGATCAGTTAGCAGTGTGTGGGCCTGGCCGGCTGCACAGTCCGCCCCCACTGGGTCGTGCGGCGTTCGAAGGACGCCCACTGAAAAATGATTATAACCCAAAGGTTCAGAGTTAAAACCTAGAACCAAACCAACATTGAGAGTTGAAACCTTTGACTCTTCTGAAAAGTCAGGCACATGCCTGGCATGGGAGGTCGGCCTCCCGCTGAGTTGTGTGGCGCTCGCACGACGTCCACTAAGAAACAGGTCAGAACCAAAGGTTGGCGCAAAAGATTCGACACAAACCAACACCAAACATAAAGACCTTTGGCGCCTCTAACAAGTCCGCGGTATGCACCTGGCTGGCAGCTCGATCGGGGCCCCTCTAGGCGGCGCTACATCCAAGAAATGGCATCGTGCTAGGCAGTTGGACATGGACTGGACTAAAAGCAGTCAAATGCCCGAAAACTAAAGTCTGGTTGAGGTTCGTGGGATTGTGTGCGTCATGATCAAGCATAATGGCATATCTCCTTCCGGGATGAGCAAGCTAAAGGCAGAGGGCACCTCAAAGAAGGCTTCGATGGGATAAAAGTGCTTAAAAATACGGACATGATGCTCTCACCTGCTTCTCTAGCTCCTCAAACTTGAGGAGAGCCGCGTCGGCCCCCGACGGCAGCTGGGTAGCTACGTCCCCCTGGGAGCCCATGATTCCTGACCACCAATTTATCTAGCGGGAACTTCCCTGTGGTTAAAAGGTATATGATTGGAATGAGTTTATTTCCCCACCAACTACAGTGTGTTATGCATGGGAGGTCGCTCGTTAGCCAAGTCCGAGACAAACCCAAACGGTTGTTCAATCGAAGCGGTCAATATCTTCTGTGTAAGGGCGGGAGCTCCTTGGTAATCAGTTCAAATTTGGAGATCTCAACTTGTAGAATTGATTGCAGAAGCGTTGTGGTCCTGTGATGGGCTATGTACTTTGTACAAAGCCAATGGCAGGGGAGCTAGCAATCCTAGGTCCAACGCAATAAGAAGCGATGATGCTGGGATGAGTGCATTTGCCAGTTCACACTCAGGTGAGTCGTCTCTATGACACTTTCTGTAGGAAAGCAAGAGATTACGGGTGAAAAGCAATGCATAACCTTGATTTGTGGCGCGCTGACTATTCTCCAAACATGGATAGCTTTGATTGCGACGGAACAGAGTTGGCGTACCAACAGACTTTTCACCCATCAGAAGCTATCCAGATCGCTTGCAGTAAAGGGTTACCTATCATAAGCAGACGTGAACCTTTTAAAAAGACTGATGGGTTACCCTTGAGGAGGTATTGAGTGGTTGGTATCCATATAACATCAGGAAGGCAACAAAGACTCGAGTACGACAAGAATGTAGAAAGCTTCTGCATTGATATTTTTCATCTCAGAAGGGAAGACCATGAGATTGAAGCTGCACTCACCTCTGAAACTCTGTACCTTAACCTACGGAGGCCCAATGAAGGCACCAACTCCCTAGGCAGTTCCCAGGCGATTGCGAGCTCTGGCGAAAGCTACGGGGATCAATTGGTGCACCCTGTTACTAAGCCAAAACACAGCTGGAGGAAATATCCAGAGCTCAAAATTGCAGAAGGCCTGGGCTTCAATATTTGCGGCATACGATGCATAGTGTGCTGTTTTGGGCCCTTGTTCCAGAACTTGTTGGAATTTTGAGCAGCTGCTTGCGAACACAAGTGAAATTACCAGCTGCTTAGACCGTTCCACGACCTTTTCGCTCATGATAGCTCAATTCTCTACGCAATGGAGAGCTGTGCATGTCAAAATCGGAAGCTGATTGCGCAGGACGCCAGCTGTGCTGTTGACAGCTTCTGCCTCTATTGCTTCATAAACACATGAACAGAGCTACCCAGAAATCACACTCCCAGTTGCTGGAAGGGGCCCCATCTCCCAAGAGCCCGGGGGCCGCCTCGGGAGGCTTCAGGGAGCTCCCTCGCGCCTTTGCCGGGTTTTGCCTTCGTCCTTCGTCCTTCATTCTTGGAGCTCCTTCCAGCTCCTCCTTGAATGCGCTAGCTTGCAAGCTAGAGCCTAGTGGCAGTCTAGTGCGTTCATAGAGAATGGTTGCAAACCCTAATTTCAAGGCCGCCCCGGGTGAGACGTATTACTGATTCTTACCCGGAAAAAAGGCCAAAAAAGTCCTCACGAAAAGGGAAACACACCTTAGGCTTGATGAGAAATGTTTAGAATCCGTTCCCTTCAATGTCAGGAAGGCTGTCGGGTAGCGCCACCCAGCTTGAGCCTACACAATGAAACTCGTGCATTGTGCTGGCTTCGCTTTAGAACTTAGAAGTTCAAGTTGTATTAGAACTCCTTTTGACCTGGAACTGCAATTTGCAAATTCCGTGCAAGCGAGAAGTTGCCTGCGTATCGCTCACAACTTGGAATCAAGGAGCTGCCAAGGACGGTTTCTTTCAAATAGCTGGCTTCCCGTGGGCTTCTCAGTTGGCGCTGCGAGGCGCAGGGCATTCCGCTCTGGCTAGCGTCGCCCATTTCCTGATGGGCAAAGTGCAACCAGAATTGCAATTGTCCTTTAGTTGGAGCTCAGCCCTATGCGAGTAGGAGGCATCCCCCCAAGGCGTGCAGGCCGGCAGGTGCTTCTTGCGTCCCTGGCTGAATGATTGCAGAAGGCTGGGTTGCCGCTGCCTACTGCAAGGCTTCTCCAGAGGAGCAGGAGTGGATATGGGCAAGAAAGACCAGCGTTGCGCCTGTTGTTGCAACTCAGAATTCTGCTTCTCACCAGAGCTTTACACTGACGTCCCCTCCCAAGGACCCCCAAGATTGGGCCTCTAGCTTCAGACGGTTCTCCCCGCTGGACCTGAATAGGCCCTTGATGTTTAAGGTATTGCCGTCATCAGGCCTGGGGCGCCTTCCACTCCAAGCGTCAGTGGTAAGTCGGAAGAAGGGCACGCATCAGACACTTGCCAGCTGAGCTGGGTCTTATTTGAAACTTGCGCTTGGAAGCTTGGGTTCTGGGCCCGCTCGCCGCGCAAATTTCAATGCTTCCATTTAGCATGGCCAAGGAAGCTTGAGCAACTGACAACCTGCGCCGTGGGGTTCAAGGGCCCTTCCAGGTGAGTATCAGAGGTGAGTTCCAGGAAGCATTCATTTATTAAGACAGGAGGAGGTTGGAATTGCGCTTGTAATGCAGTTGCAAGTGACTGAAGGATAGGAGTCAGACTGGCGCGACTGGGATCGCTTGCAAAGGTCCTGGAACAAAGAGGAGGAAATTTCATGCTGACCAAGTCGAATATACTCTCAGAAGAACAAAGAAAATGCTTCGGAAGGACTTCGGAATTGCAATTCCTGTTGGACGCTGAACGGTTAGAACCAAAGAAAAGGGGCCTTCGTTTTAGACATCTCCTTGGAAGACCTGACCGCGTTGGTTGGAAGCTTTTCCAAGCGGTGCAATCCGAGGCAATCGAGGCGCGCTCTCTCAGCACAGAGCAAAGTGAGTGCCATCCTCGAAAAGCGCCTCTGGCTCCATGTATTGAAAGATGAGGCGCCTGGATCAAGAGTTGCAGAAGGATTTGATAGAAGAGCTTCATGTCAAAGAGGCATAAGGCCGCAGCACCTGAGTCAGCGCCCCCCGATCCACTCCTGGTAGCTGAAAAAGACTGCTTTTTTCCAGTACATGCTGACATTAAAGTTCGGCACTTCTGTGCTTGAATCCAGTATCTCATGGTCGATTTTACGTTGACTAAGGGGGTCGCTCTTAGGACAGACTGAAGAAGGTCGTAGTGATCAACACAACAAGCTCGCTTTATTAAGATTGATTAGTCAAAGAGAGTTGTCATAGGGAAGTGTCTGATGTAGTTTGGCACTGAATATCCCTATAATTTGGCCATCATCCTTGTTTTCTGACGGTTCATCATGTTCTTTAGAGGAGTCACGACGTGCAACTGCACGAGAACAGATAGTGGCGTACATGTTTGTCATCTATTGTTCCAGCACCCAAGATGGTGCGAAAAAGATATGTAGAGCGTTACGCGCATGCCTCCTAGGACTGAGGCATTTGCAAGATGATCGAACAAAGCGCGGCCATTCTGGTCTTTGGTTCGTACTATAGGAGTCTGTTTGTTCGGGTTCAAATTGGGTAATTAAGCCAGCTTTAGACAATAAACTCTTAAAATATATGCCGCCCTTGACACAACGCAACTTCACGTTGAAGTTTTTCCTCGAACCCAGGCCTGAAAAAAATCCCCAAAACGGGGCTCTGGATTCGCCAATTCAAGTTGAAGCAGTGATTTCAATGATAGCCTGCAATTCCTGTTACTAGTTGCTTGCATCCTTTTATACAAATCTTGAAACATTCATTAGGGATAAAACAGGCCGGTGTCTCTTAATTGAAATGGGCCGTCCTCGTTGGCATGGTCGCTCGAGTGTTTTAGGGCGGGAGTGCGAAGGTGGATGGAATATAATTGTGTGCCGGCCGTCTAGCTCCGGCCGCGCGCTTAAGAATACCAGAGTGCCCATGTGCATAAGATTAACTGACCCGTTTTGAATTGAGTGGGGTCGAGCCAAACGATGAGTACTTTAGCAGAACGCTGACATAATAAGGTAGCTAGATTCAATTGAGTGCGTTGAAGCGCCGCGTGCTCGGCCGACATGAGCACAAGCTTTTCCGTTTGCTATCATAGATTGTGGACTAACTCCATCGGGCTTATTAGCCTTGGGGTAATTGAATGATTTAAATAGTTGACCGGCCCGGCCCGGGCAACATCTCTTTCTAGTACTGAGAACGGGCATGGCAGGATCGGCATGCAGATTTAATCATTCTAGCCATGATGAGCAAAAATGGTCGACCGTATCAATGGATCTAGTCCGGTCGTGGAAGTCTACTTCAATTCCTTGACCGGACCGCGCCAGGCTATAATTTTAGCCTTCAACTGAAGCGCATCATTCACTTGCATATCCATCTCATCATCGGATTCACTGAGTCATATTCTCATATTCTGCATGTGGTCGATCAGTACACCTAGTGCATATGCCTACGTATCGGCCGCTAAGTTGATGCAAATGTTACAAATCGTACCTAATCATACAGTGACACACATTGAAGCGTGCTATTTTTTCAACTAGCTAATTCAATAACCTATGGGCCGCCCGGATTTAGTCCAAAACGTGACCGCGCTGCGTAGGAGACGCGCGTCTTCTACGTACTGCGTATCCGCGACCGTGGAACTGTCTCTTAAGCTTTCGACTGGTCACGAGTTAATAGCTTAATCACCTGGATAGGCCATTATTGTAAAGTTAATTCAGGATTGGCGTGCAATATATACTTACCAGTACTACCTACGGTAGGTTTGATCCAATTGAACTGAACTTGTGCGGCGGTCTTACATTCGATATACAACATTTTGGCGGCCACACCTATGATGCTAGTACGTGTACAAGACTCTGCACTAGCATCGCGCCAAACTAGGTATGTATGGATGTCGATCGGAATCTCGGAATGAATGGAGTTTAGTCTTGTCACTTCGGAGGCCGGGTCAGGTTGACTCCAAACGCGCACGATTTACAGCCTCCACTGTCGCGGACGTATATAGATGCTGGTCAATTAGAGCTATTCGGATGCGCCAAAGATCACGCTTCGTGATTACTTCTACTAATAATGTGTGGCAATAAGGGTGTTCATAGATAGATGAAAGATATCACGGTCGACTTTTCTCATATTCTCATACGTATCTTGTTCCTTATTTCCGCAGGTCGCCTCGTGGATGGTGTATACGTCTGAATATAAGGCCGGAGACGGGAGACGAAGTTGAATGGAACAGTAATGGATACCCAAACTTCTCCAGTCTGAGTGGGGGGACTGTGTTCTGAGCGAAGTCATCGAAACGTTCATTTCAATCAATTCTGAGGTTGCACCTCGATGAGCTTTACGCCAAAAGCAATGTCACTTATTTGTCTTGCTGCGCAGCTGAATTGTCTCAATCTTATTATATAGCCTGTACTATGTCACACATGCAGAAAACAACCTGTTCATGTCTAACTTTACCACACGGTCAGAGGACTGATCTGAAAAACAGTCCCAGAAACTCTCAAATCCTTTTGGCACCTGTCAATGCATTTATGATTGTCGGCCGGAACCTGATTTTATGCTCAACTCGAATGTACAAGTATCTAGTCAAGGCCGAGCCTCTTGAAGAGGTGCTCAAAGATGCCCTGTCCAGAGACCAACTCTTGGGCGACGAACCCAGCAATGGCGATCATAGCCAACCGGCCGTTGTTCAGCTCCTTGCTCTGCATGTCCTTCTTGGCCGCGGGGTCGGTGGGCAGGAGGCCGAGGGGGTCTGCGGAATTTGGAACAAGGGCTTGTCAGTCTCCGTCAAAGTGAAACCAAAGCGAAATTTATCGTCACATCGCCATGCCTATTCAAACCGACAGAGATAGTTTGTTGATGTGAAAGAAGCTCACTTTATCTGAAGGTCAATGGCAATTTGGACCAGTCAAGTCGACTTCCAAAATATGAAACTGGGCACCAGAGTTGAGGTCCGGGACGGTGTGCGAAAGCGACGAGAGATAGACCCGTAATGTCCGTTCCTTCCATCACCCAATATGTATGTTCAGGTTCGAACCTTGAAAAGAAAGCAGGGTATGCAAGTCGGTCGATAAGATCACGTTGTAGCCGGTGTTAGACCAAATCAGGCAAGGTAGCGGAATCGAACATGCCAGCTTACTAGTTTCGAATTTAAAAGGTGGGGCCCACAATTATGTCCATACCCCCAGGGGATGCAAACAACTCGAGGAGTTAACCCAGATTGCGTAGCTTGTAAAACCTCAGGGTCGTTAGAATCTGGACTGAGATACATTGCACTATGCCTCCCTCCAAAGTTCGTCGATTCATGAAAACGTACCACCTACCCTTTCGTCCATTCTGATTCTAAAAGTTTCTCCGTTTCGAATATGAGAAGTGGACAAATCCACCATACTCACCGAAGCCCAGGTTGCCGGGCTCATAATCCTCGCGGAGGGTGTTGAAGTTGGTGGAGTCGGGGGTGGCCCAGCCAAGGCCCACACGGTAAGACTCAGCAAGCGCAATGGCGAAGATCAGGGGCTCCCAGAAGATGGCGCCTTCGTTCTCGACCTGCTGGAAGTGGTAGATGGCGGGGCCTGCAAAAACGAGACTTTCAACCAGAGTTAGAATACTTGCACCGGAGGTTCCGATTTTCTCAAGATGAAATCTGGATTTTGATTGGGTAAAGCCAGGAGAATATATGCAGTTGACCCTTGGCTAAAAATGATGGATAGAATTGCAGCATGTGTGCGATGCTTTTTAGTTGACACCTCTGATATTAGGAATCTCAAGAATACCAAGGTCTTGAGGGGACCTGAGATCCACACAACCTGATCAATGTTCTGTATTCTGTTCAAAGAGTATTGAGTCTCTCGATTATGACTTCCTCAACAATGAAAAACGACAGAAGATTCGCACGAAACAGAATCAGTGTGCTCCAAAGCCGCAAAGCCCAAGACCATATCTGGAATCCCTAGAAGCAGAAACCCAAACATTGGTTTGTTGAAGAGCACCTTTGAAAAAGGGACCAAAACCAGAACCTTTTTGACCACTCACCAGTAACGTGGGGGAAGAAGCGGGCGGGGAAGTCCTCGACCTGCTCGCCGACAATGAAGCCAAGGGTGGCAAGCATGGCAACGCGGCCGTGGACAATCTCAGACTCGCGCCACCTCTTGAGCTCCTTGACTGCAGAGTATTGCAGACTTTGGTTTAGTATGTGGGTTAGGGTTCGGCCAGGAAGAGCTACTGGCAGAAGTGGCACTTGATGAATTGCAATCCAGAGGGTAGATCTCTGCGACGAACGACTGGCCCAGAGTAAATTGTGAGGTCAGTTTCATGGCATAGGTTTGGTTATTTACTGCAGGTCGGGGGTACTCCGGCTCAATACAGTGTTCAGTTGCTCTGAACACTGCCGGATGACCAAGTTGGTTGGAAAAATCTTTGGGGCAGTAGTGAGGAGTTGTCTTCCTATGTGCAGGGAAGTTTTCCTGAGCATAATCTCCTCGCGCTATTGAATTGAATCAGCTTGGAATAACCTGCGCAAGTGTTACTGCTCTTCTTTCTTGATGACGATCATACTGTGTAAATTTTGGGGTATCCAAATCTGTCTTAACTAATACGCTCTTCTGTCTCAACCTCGTATTGTATAAAGCTTGGGACATCCTCAATCTGCATTCCCTAGGTTTGCTTGCCTTAAGCTCTTGCAACCGGTTAATCACAAAGGCTTGGCAACTCCTCATATCGAGTCTACAACCAGGTTGTACTGCAGGTATCGACCAGCACTATCTAAGATATAATGTACTTTGTCTTGACCACATTGGCAGACAGCCAGTCAAAGAACCGACCAGCGAACTTAAGCCTCTGAGCACGAGACCCCGTATTTTCATCCCATGCTTGAAGCAAGCCTCAAAAAGCCTGTACATCTGAAGACTAGACCGAGGGCGATCCAGGAATGCAAGCATAAGAAGAAGAGGAACCACTTACTGGGGCGGGCGCTGGAGGCAGCGCGGGCGAGGAGGGTGGCAGGGTCCTGAAAGAGAATAAGTGACCACAATAAGAAACCGAATGTGGACCGATTGCAATGCAGGGTTGTGTGAGTTACTTATGAGGATGAAAACCCTCACTAAGGTGCCAATGCAAAGCTTTACAACAGAACATGGCTGCAGCATATGGCTCCACCACAGGGAGAGGAAATCAGATCCTTGATCAATGAGCGCTGCAGAGATGCTCCACAAAGAAAGCGCAGAGGGACAAGAGCATACTAACTATGCTTTCATCTGGGGAGTGCTCTCGAAATTCGTAGCAAACAAGAAACATCCAGGAGGAATGCAGATTATCTGAGGACTCGACAACCACGTGGTCTCAAGAGTGAAGGTGGGACTTACAAAGATGTTGGGGAAGGGCAGGGTCACACCGGGCAGATCCTTGGCACTGGAAGAAAGAAAGAGACTTGTTCAGCTCAGTGCATTCATTTCAGGTGAACGAGATGCGGATGTCCATGTCTTAGCAGCACGTGACTGTGCTTTTGAAAAGTGGAAAGTGTCTTAAGACAATCTGAGAGTGAGGCAAACAAGCTTTGTCTGTGAGCGCCGTTCTTCATCCTGGAAAACAGATCTCTTCATGAGACCCTAACTTGTGTCAGCTGCTGCTAAGTTCCAAGGATTCAAATCTCCCCACTGAAAGGCATCATTTCATTCCAGTGATGGCCGACAACTCAGGTGACTTTATTCTTACACACAACTGTCCGAAATACATTGAGCATCTGAGCTGCAGGCCTGGAGTGAGTGTCTGTCTACCTACATTTTCACCTAAGGATGTCCCAGGATCACTTGATTCTGCAACTTATGTGCTATTCACTGATCCAACTCGCCCTGACCGCACATATCAGCCAAATCAGTCACAGAATGCATAGCGCAGCACCAGGGACACCTTATAAAAAGAGAGGACTGAACAAGCAAATCTGCTCACTACAGCTTCAGATCTAGATCTCGAAGGTCCAGATACTGACAGTAAGACACATTGCCGCAGTTTAGGGAAACAAAGTTACATTGCTGCACTCAAGACCAGGCATTCGGAGGTATCATTTGTGCTTGGAAGATAAAAAACTCACTACTTCAGCACATCAGGGGGCGTGACCGTGGCATCGGGGGCCGCCGGGTCATCAGCAACCGCGCGGATGGGAGCGAAGGTCCTGCTGGAGGGAGCAGCAGTCCTGGAGGCCGTGAAGAGAGAGGCGCCAGAGAGGCGGGCCACAGAGGCGAGGGCGGAGGAAGCCATGGCTGCTAATGCTTGCGAGGTTGCTTCCAGTTACAATGCAATGCAAGGTTTCAGATTGTGACTGACTTTGTCTGCTCAACTTGAGATCTGATCTAAGTTTCGACAAGACAAAGCTGAACCTTGGCTTATCTTCCAGATCTAGCTAGATTCAGAGCAAGTTGCTGATATTTGGTACGTACCAGGCGGACAAGTTGTGGGGGATCACTGGAGAGACTCCGGCCTGGTACGTACCAAAAGCAGTTGACTGAGCTAGGGCAGTAAAGATGCTAGGCTGTGGATCTGTGGAAACGGAGGGCTGAGCACAAGCCGGAACATCGCACCTGACGCCCTGACGGTTGGCCGCCACTTTTTGGAATGTTTCTCTTCAGAAGACGGACCTTTTTGCACCTCCCCGTGGGTCCCCAACCAATGCATGCGCCTAATTTCAGCCAAACTGCTTTCTACAGGCGACGCGTGTCCTTGATTCAAGAACAGGGCCCTCCGTGAGCCACGATGCTGGCTTTCAGCCGTCCGATGAGGTTCAGATTTCTCCTCTTGTCCTGGAACTGAATATTATCGGGGGCAAGTTGACCAATCAAACTGCTTTGTTCACTTTATGTCGACGTGGTCTCTTCCACGGCTGCCATCTAGGATTCAAGAGATCAGCAACCATCTGATTTGGCGGAATCCCTTCTCCGATCCGCGTGCCGCTGTGCAGCCAGGGTGGCAGTTCCGCCGGAATCCGCAATGTGGTTGCTCCTGACTTTCACAGTGACACGCACGTTCACTTCGTAAATTGTAAGCAAGACTGTAGCCTTTTGATCAGCTGTGGTTTTACAACCGTCTTCTTTGAGCTTCTTTGACCTTTCTCCAGCGCTGAGCTTTTATCAAATGTATCTTGGTAATCCACTGAGAATGTTGTATGAAACCACGAGTCTGTTCTGGGGCCACCATGTGACAATGGTGAACAAGAAAGATGCAGCTTTTCAATGCTGTGCGTACAAGCAGACACATGCAAGCTGCATTCGGCCAACTTCACTTCTCTCTGAGGCCAACTCCTGAGACTCCCGGCTTTATCGTAGGCCACACAGCTGCAACACCAATCGTCTTGTGGCGCAGTGCCAGAAAACGTGGAGCCAGACGGTGAGCGCCTATGGATCGATGGACAGGAGGGGGTAAAGCAATGCTCTAATAAGCTCTTTCCAAGCATTCAAGGCTGGTTTTCATTTAAAGAGCTTGCTGTCGGTCAATCTGGAAGCCTGAATTCTCGGTCAATCTGAAAGCTTTAATTCCTTCGAAGATTGACTGCACAGGGTTTTCAGTTTCTGAAGTGCACTGGTTCTCCTTGATCAGCATTGATCGGCTCAAAGCCAAACAGGTTCAGCGGCCCCTTGTGCGGCCCTCAGAAGAGCTCATCGTGGGAATTGGAAGAAAACTTTCTCTGAATCTCAGCCAGCTTATGCCCGTTTTAGAGGAAGAAGTCATCCAGCTTCTGAACCTTTCTTCAATGATGAGCGAGCGGGCACTTGCACATGTGCTATCAGACTTCTGCTTGTGCCAGACTGAAAAGCTCCATAACTTATGCTGGTGCTGGAAGTGGAAAGCTTCATTGCACCTGGTTACCTATACAGGAGGGTCCTAAATTGGACATGTAGACTGAGGACGAGTTCGATCGATTCTTGCATTGGAAGGGACTAAGGGATACCTTCACTCGAAGCCGCTTCTGTATACACCAGATTGCGATGAAGCGCAGCCAGCAAAGACAAGATGGCCTGGCTCAACCATTCAGCGATCGTTTCAATTGGTTGAACAGTAGCTGCCCTTCACAAAGTCCCCAAGAGCCAACGCCCCATCATTTCAAAGGATTTGACCCTTTGAGATGGTTCTCTTACCAGGCACTTGCAGTTGTCATTCAATATTCCATCAGTTGGAGACTTGAACGGGTTTTATCAACTTGAAAGTCCAAGATGCATGCTCTTTCTCACCTCTTACTTCAAATTCCCTGCAGGCTGTCAACCGTAAGTCCTCTGCAAGCTTCGCAAGGCAGTGCGGTAACCCCGACAGTAAGGCCCAGAGTTTCCATTCTCTTGCGCTCAATAATAAAGCGATCAGTCCCAGTTTTGTGCTTTTGCATACGGGCGTCTGTTGTTAGTGAAATCGTTGAACCCCTCGCTGATGACTATTTGTAATCGAACCACTGGGGCACAAACTCAGTTGGTGCAGAACGGTTTGTCTCAATGAGTTGTAATTGACACAAATGCCGCACTGTCCTTGGCAGGACTGGTCTCTAGACTAGTTGTAAAAGCTCAATTATATATAGCATTCAGGCGGGTGTGGCTAGTGAGGGGGTTTCGCGTGGGCAGTGGTCTGGAGCAGGTAGGTGTTCGAATTTTTGTTTTGGGTGTTCGATGCAGTCTGGTTTGCGATTAGGCTTCCTTTGATTGATGCTTACTATATGACTGATCAGTGAAGATAATTCAATCTAGTAAGTTTTTGCAGGGAGCACGAGCCATGGATTCCGAGACTGCGGATCTTCGGGCGTACATCCAGAACGGAATCAGCAACGTGTGGTACACAAGCAGCGAGGATGCCATCATTCCCGGTGGAATGTTCATCCGCGCCTCAGGAAACCCTCTCAAGATGGAGGTGGGAACTCTTAAGAAGAGCGAAAATGTCTTGCTGGTTGGGGAATGCTTGAGGCCCAGTCGCAATTCCTTTTAGATCGTCGTACCTCCTTGAGTGTTCATTCTCATTTTATTCACAACCTCTTACTTTTGTAGTCCCCCAGCCCCGTGCTGATGTAGTTTCAACCTCTCACTGACTGCTAAGACTGTTGCCTAAGTCAAGGCTGTGATCTCGCGCCGGCTGACCGTGCATCCTCACACCTGGATTCTGAACCGAAAGCCTCCCTAGCACCGTGCACTTTCTGAAACGCTCAGAGAGACTAAGCTTTCTAAGGGTAATACTGATGTACAAAAGGCTACAGTGTCCACTTCTTCAAATTGCCAGGTGTCAAGATTTCGCTCGATCTGGAATAACAGGGACGAGTTGGATCTCGTACATTCAACCATTGCAGCTCTTTTTGGTAGTCACTCCAAGCCCAGTTCACATGAGTCCAAGTTCGAGGCAGAGGCATGCTTGCCGATCAGACCAAGCAACCAATCACAAAACTTGTCCCTACCCTATATTCACCAGAGTGACTTGGAACACCAAACCACTGGCCATGAGCGAACTTGCACGGACCGGCTACTTTCTTACCTCCTATGAATCGGTCCGTGATTCTCAGCTCTTCGAAATACAGGGGCTGGCAGCGTTCGTCGAAGAAAACGACGAGCTCTTCGAAGAGAAAGTCCTGGACATTGAGAAGTTAGAGGTAGGTCCGTATCTGATCGAAGTTCTCGAAGCTAGCAAGCCGAGGGGATCAGTCAGAATGCTCCAGTCGAAAGCCACTCGTGATCTGGAGTTCACCTGAACAGTGTCACTGCCCGGATGCAAAACGAGTCAGACAAGCGTGTGAAGGAGTTAGGCCTTCGATTCAGGTAAAGTAAGCTTCAAGTAAAGTAAGCCAAGCAACCTGGGACGGGTGGGGCTACTTTGGGGGTTAGGGTGGGTTCGGGTGCGGAGCGGGTCATTTTGAGGGTTAGGTTTTCAGTGTTAGGCTGGGAGCTTACTCTACTTAAAATGAAGAGACATTAGAAGGAGGACCACCGCTTCTAGAAAAGAAGCCTCGAGGAAGTAATTTCTCGGAAATAACAGGACTGAAATAGTAGTTGCGCTTAAGTTGACGACTTGCTTGTTTGCCACTTTGATGAACTGCAGGCAATCTTCTTCAGTGTGGAAGCGGTTCTCGTGTTCTAACAAATGCAAAGTGTTGGAACTCCCTGAAGCTCCGTGTTCTTGGTGCAGATCCGGGGTGACGTGGCATGGACGGTATTGAAGATGTACCAGGACTTTTCGTATCGTGGCACTCGTCACAAGGACACATTCAGGTACACCGTGATCCTTGAGAGAAAGCCACTTGAGAGATGGAGGGTTGCTCACATGCATCGAAGCTCACCTTTAAAGGAGGCGCCTTGAAGTGAAGCTCCAATATGCATGTGTATTATCAGTAAGTATCCATCGAGCTTACTTCTGAAGTCCTCTTTAGAAACTTCCGCTAGACAACGTGCCATCTAGGAGAGGAGATTGAGTGTGCACTGGTTAATGTTGTATCACGGGGTTTTGAACAAGCTTGAAAAACTTGGAACACAAAACGGACGGCATTGTCTAGAATCCATCAGAACCTAAAATTCCCTGTTTCGACGTAAGACTCAGCGGGGACACATGGTGTGCGACTCACTGGCAAGCTAGACTTGGATATAGCAAGCCTGCCAGTTTTAGTTGGCGGCCTGATCGACATTCGGAAACACGAACGAAGCTTCGAAGCTGGTGGAACAAGAGGAATTTGGCTAGCTTTCAGAATCGATTTCAAAGTTACCAGCAGGATCACAAGCTGATCACAAGCTGGCTGTTCGGTTGCTCTAAGGAATGATACGCGAACCATACACGCAAAGTGTACTATCAGTCTGACATGGGAGTGATTTCGACAATGAGTCGTTGACAGTAGGATCTGTTTCTAAAGACTTAAATTAGATATACTCGTGAGCTTTCATTGTGATTGAATAATGCGCAGCGCCAGGACATTGGCCGCAGCGCATGAGGCCCATCATTGCATCGTCGCACGTGCCCATATCAGACTTTCAAGGGCTCCCACTGCATGAAGACTCATGCCCATGGGCTGTACGAATGAAGTTTCTACACGGTTAACTATGTTTTTTCATAGATTCCGACAACCACGTTAGATTGCGCGCGCCGCGCATGGCCGGTCATAGAGGACCCTTGCAAGACATTCAATAGAGACCGGACACGGCATGTACGTAGGATCACCACAGCTCTCGTGTAAATAAAGATAATTGAAACGGACGACATCGTGGCCTTCAATCTCAGCTACGCAATATTTAAAAGGCTACGGTCCCCGCTTGGTCTAGCTAGGCTATTACAACCATATATGCGGCGCAAACATGCAATCCTTGTCGACTCGGACTCTGTAACTGCATGAATGTGGCCACGGGTATAGCTTTCACCGATGCGCCCGCGTCGAAGCCATGATGCACACTGCTACGACCGTACGTACTGCAATCAATCAATATGACTCTTAGAAATTAGCGATATATGATACTAATTAGATAGTGAATCGAGAAATGGAAACCTTTGGATGAATTGGAGTCCTCTGATTACGATTACGGTACTCGTTCTGTCCAGCCTGGCTGCTTGGCACACACTCATCGGTCCCAATGACAATTTAACATTGAATAACAATCTACTAATCTACACTCCAGACACTCCAGGCTTTCAGGCTTAAGAATAACGGGAGAATAACATTGAATAACAATTCACTAATCTACACTCCAGAACGTAACTCCAAGCCTGGTTTTCGTGGAGGTGGCTCAGTGGACTCACGGTACCACGTGATTGTAGACTCACTGTAGGTATAGGAGATGTCAACATTCTGTTCACTTATGCTCTGACCTGTCGCTACGGTTCTAGTTTAACAGCATGGAGACCGCTTAGATCGTTACTATTACTACGGTACTATTAGTCAACGACACTGCACAGGCAAACCCGCTTCCCGGGCCATGCAAGCTGGAGCTAGCTGCCCAGTGCCCAACGATACATACATGTATGAGATGTTAACCATAGAGTTAACATTCTATCCTGTTTGGGTTGTTCTACCATATGGAGTTTTGTCCAGCTGCCGGCCCCATGGGTGCCCCTCGGTTTGGCTCGGTTTTGCCGGCTCCGTATATATATAGTCCGCTTTCATTGTTTCACACTGTGAATGGCAGAGCCTGAGAAGCATCAAGCATGTCAAGACCAAGTCATGAAGTCATGCTTGAAATATCTCATCTTGTATTAACAGGTCGAGATAGCCTGTCACACCTCCTTTAGCATCACTATTCATATGTGACATGAATTGTGGATTGCACACTGACAGCATGGAAACGAGCATGTGTGAACCAGACATCATATAAAGATCTGGCATCCTCACTTATAGCTGGCAATGCAATCTTGAGATGGCAAAAGAAAAGCTCAACAAACTCAATTGGGCTTATGTTTTTGATCATATCGACTGTACAAAAATTGATCAAAATGAGCAGCTTAGTTCGTCTCAAACGGTTCTAGAAGTATCCCTTTATCTGATCAACATGAGAACGTGTCCCTAACCACTACAGCTGAACTAGGCTCGGATGCTGAGTCCTTCTAGCAACAACGGCTGCAATTATGATTTTGAAATTTCAACCAAGCAATCGAGAGAAAGAGGCATCCAGATCAAGGTGGATATTCAAGCAATGCTAACAAATTGAGAAAGCACAATGCCACACGTTATGATCTAACCAGCCATAATATCAAGCAAGCCTTTGGTGCTCTCTCAGAGCCTTCGCACTCTTTGCGTTGATGAGGATTATACCTGAAAGAATTGAAGGATCACGAAGATGTAGTTAGAGACGGTTTTAGCTCCTCATTGCGGCAACGTTGCAAGCGTTGCAGGAACGTAGCGCAACGTTTCGAGGCGTTGCTGCAACACTTGACGTTGGCAAGTGTAAGGCATCTACGCCTGAAACGTTGCGAGAACTATTTAAAGCTAAACCGAGCTTAAACCCTCGTTGCTGCAACGGTCATGCAACGTTGTAAGATTGTTGCGAGACGTTGCAGATCTCTGTTGCAGCAACGAGGGTTTAAGTTCATAAGTTTGGTTTAGCTTTAACCAGTTTTCGCAACGTTTTAGGCGTTGATTCCTTACACTTGCCAACACCTAGTGTTGCAGCAACGCCTCGAAACGTTCAAACGTTGCGCAATGTTGCGCAACAGCGCAACGCCGTGCAACGTTGCTGCAACGAGCGGCTAAAATTCCGATGACTTACTGGGCGATTACTAGTACCCGCACAATGTTTGATGATGCAGAACAATCACAGACTCGAACTTACTTTCGGGATTAAGTGATGTGGACCGTACAGCTGGAACTCTCGTCCGTTCTTGTTGCGCCACTTGAAGTTGCTGAGCGCAAGGAACCTGATCGACTGAGACGTTCAAGCTGCTGTCAAACAGCTTGGAAAAGAGAAAGGCGATCTTCTCCTTCTTTCTTGTATTGCTGTCCGTTCCTATTGTTCCTAATCGCTGTGAAGTGCTAAAACTGAGGTTGAGGTAACCTTTCCCTACTTCGACTTTCAAATCGTCCTGTCCCCGATCAATCACGGGCTCAGGTAACGAGCTTCGAAGTCGTTTCGAACGTGTTTACCGTTACGAAGTTGCAGACAAAGGCAATTTTATTGGACGGAGCTTTAATCCAGATGCAATCCTTGCGAAGATAGTGAAGATGCAATTAGGTGGACAATCTAGTGGTGTCCTTTTTTGACTGTTTCTATCACGTTTCTATAGAGCCCGCTGAGAACAGCATTGGTGTGTGCAATGTGCCCTGAAATTTTCTGCCGGCTGAGCAGCTGAGCCTCTGAGCACTGAGCAGCTGGCGGGCCGTGCGTTCGGCAATAGCCCGGGGGTCCCTTCCCGAAAGCCGGCCTGGCCCGTTCCCGACCGGCCGGGCCTCCTGCAGGTTCATATTGTCGGCTGTGCCATGTGGGTATTTGGGAAACCCTGACCACATGACCAGTGACCACAGTGACCACAACTTACATGAGAAGGTCAAACCGTACGGCTCATGTACGGTGCGGCCGGGAAGGGGCCGGGAAATCTGCCCGTCGTTGACTTCCGTCGAGATTCAACTTCAAACCGACACATGGCAGCTCTTCGACGCATTGAGATAGTACGCCCGGAAAACCTGGCGACGGGCGCACGCCGAAATCCTAGCTCCGGTTTGTTTTCGCAGAAATATCGTAATCATGTGGTCATATCGGGGGTGAGGACTCGCACCTTTTTGCAGCCCTGCCACTGCCAGACGACGAGTCTTCAACGGTTCAGAGTCTGGTCGAATGCAGCCGGAAGGAGAACCGTGGAGAGGAGCTCTTGCCGCATCAGGAGGTGCCAGCACAACTTGTGGTTGCCTTGCTACCGTTGTGTGGAGCGATAGAGAGGTTGTAGAGAGGCTCTGCAACGGAGAAAAAGCACCCGAGGTGACCTGCGGTAGAAAGGTGAATCTCTATGATGACGAACGCTCTTTGTATATTACAGTGCTTTAGGACGTCGGTGCATGAGCCGCTTGGATCGAGCTCTGCAATCAAGGGCATTGGACAGCCCAAGACTCACTTCAGTTACTTGATTGGGGTTGCGCCAGTGGTGTCATGTCAAGTATCTTTTCTCCCCAAACATTGTACGTACGTGCTGTTTGCACGTGCCACCTGGGCCTGCCAGTTTGGTTTCCTTATAATCTGTCACATTGGCTGATATTGTGGTGCTTTCGGAGGGACTCGCACCCAACTCGCACAGGCGTACACAAGAGGTGTGTTGAGTCTGATGTACTGGTGACCAAAAGTTGGAATAAGAAGATTGTGCCAGAACATAGAAGTTTCCTTTTCTGTGATAGCCATTCTTAATTACGCAGGAAGCTGCAAGGAGACAGAGCGCTGGGCAACCACTGTATGATGTGCTGTCTATTCAATTTGGCAGAACCATTCAGTCATCAAATCAACAGCCGCCGCCATGTGGGAAACTCACAGAATGCCAGGAGAATGCCTACTATTTGAGAGATAGCTTCTATGCAATTCTATTTGGATCTTGGAAGCCTGTTAGCCACAATTTGACTGACTCTAGGGTTTCGTTTTGCAGGTTACCCCGGGCCTGGTTCCGAAGCCGCTTGAGGACCATGGCCATGGTCACATCAAACCTGTTTTTGAGAATGCTGGTCCTGGTGACCCTGTACGGGCGGGGGCTAATAAGTTGTGTCCACTCAGCTACCATTGAGCAGATCGCCAGTCTTGTTCAGGCCCCCCTCTGGAATCAGACTGAAATCACTCTCCAGGGGAGCACCTCTATGATGCTGTCAGGTCCCATTCCCCCTGAGCTCGGCAGCCTTACCAACCTCACCAAGCTCACTCTCGACGGCACCAAATTGTCAGGTCCCATCCCCCCGAGCTCGGCAACCTAACCAACGCTCAGTACGTTATACCTCTCCAACAACACCCTCTCCGGCCCAATTCCTCCTGAGCTCGGCAAATTGACCAGCCTCTACTATTTGTTCCTCGACAACAACATCCTCTCCGGCCCAATTCCTCCTGAGCTCGGCAACCTGACCAGCATCAGTACGTTATACCTCTCCAACAACACCCTCTCCGGTCCAATTCCTCCTGAGCTCGGCAAATTGACAAGCCTCTACTACTTAAAACTCTCGAACAACACTCTCTCCGGCCCGATCCCTCCTGAGTTCGACAAATACTTCTCCAGCCTGGAACTCTCCAACAACAACCTTTCCGGTCCAATTCCTCCAAGTCTCCTCCGCTACGGATTTCTCAAAGCAACATTCTATCCTGGGAACTCTGGACGTTGAAGCAACGCCGACTTCATCCCACCGTGTCCTCCTCAGCCATCATCATCAGCATCTCCTTTAGTCGGACCCATTGTCGGTGCAGTCGTTGCGGGAGCTGCCCTTTTCCTGGCGGTCCATCTGATATAGTACACAATCAGATGTGCTTGAAAACACCTGAGACATCTCGGCAACAAAGCTTACTTTGTTAACAGGCAACATATAGGTAGAACCTAGCTAGTGGGAGACAAACATCCAGGGACGGTTGGTTAGGAAGCCAGTTTGTGTAGCGTATTGGGCAGGCTTTACATCAGTGTGACGATTGGGCTATGGTTAAGTCTAACCGCACAATCGCACGGCAGTTAAACCTTCGGGTTTGCCAGGCTGTCGACGTGTCGGCATGTGGCCAGTAT